AGATGTTTGCCAAATAAAGAATTAAGAGAAACCTGGGAAGCACATGGCTTAGGACCCAGTTCTCGGGTCCTGCACGCGGCCCTGGGGAGCGTGGTTGTGGCGCGGGTTCCCAGCTGTCATGGAGTCTGCTCTGAGTTAGGAGAAGATCCCAGCCAGGGCCTGCAGAACCCAGCCTGGCACAGCCGCCTGGCTCCTGTGACCTCCCGAAGGTTCCGGGCCCTTGCCCTGGGGGAGGATTGCTTCTGTGGGATTCAGAGAGCCAGGGCCTGGGTCTGCTTCCATGGCAGGGCACGCAGCCTGGTCTCGCATCCAGCCTCGGCTCAGGTGCAGAGGATGTGCCCATGCCCATGCCCACAGAGGGCCCTGCCTCCCTGGGGGGGCACCTCGCTCCCCACCTATGCCCCCAATGCTGCGTCTTGCTGGTGCCCGGCCCAGCAGCCCACTGCCCAAAAGGCCAAAGCTCGGTGGGGGGACACCATGTTCCGGGAGGAAGACGGGCTTGCTGGCTGGCGAGGTGGGCTCTGGGTGAGGAGGACCAGCGCAGCCCTCCTGGGTCCCGTGTCCCCAGGCCAGGACTGGGCAGCTCTGGGGCAGGGGCAGCAGACCCAGGTGGGTGTGGATGAGCGCTCACCTGCGGTTTTACCTGGCTCTGTCTGTAAGCCCCTCCTGCTCCCTGGGGACCAGCAGGACAGAGAGGCGGGGCCAGCTGCTGTACCCAGCCAGACCAGCCTCCAGGGGCCAGCTGGGAAGAGCTGCCCCTCAGGCCAACTGTTAAATGCCACTTGCCCAGAGCAAGTCCTGCGTGTGTAAGGAGCCTGACCAGGGACCCAGAAACCAAGACCAAGCGCAGGTGGCGGTGCTGTGCTGAGGGGCTCCCCAGGCCCCCTGAAGTCGGGGAGCAGTGAGGAAGGTAGGGCCCCTGGGGCCACTGTGTTCAGGATCCACCCAGCCAAAGACCCCACAGCAGAACCAAGCACAGAGCGGTGGCCAAGGGGACAGGGCACTTATGTGTCCCTTGCCTCATGGGTGGCAATGAACACCGTGCGCCCAACCAGGATGGCAGCTTCACCTCCTGTGCCAGGGCCAAAGCTCGCACGGGAGACCATCACAGCAGACAGGTGGCGCCAGAGATCCCAGCCCGAGGCCCGTCCAGGGACAGGCAGACGGGCGGTCAGGGGCTGCCCCTGCCCTTCTGGAAAGAGACCCTTGGTGTGCTTCCCTCGCCTCTCCCGCCCTCGTCTCCTTGCCCTGCCCAGGACCCTGGCTGCGTCCCGTGGGCCTCCCCATTCCTTGCGTGGCCATGGTGGTGGGTGGGACAGGCTGGACCACACCCCAGCCCCACTGCCTGCCAGGGCTGTGCAGGGCAAGGAGTGGGCCCCCCATTAGTCCGCACGTCCATCAGCACTGTCCCTGAGCTCAGGGACAGCTGGGGCTGGAGGGCACGGGGGTCCACCCAAGCCACAGTGGACAGGGACTAGGTTGGGCCCCAGATTTCCCTGGTGTGAGTTTTTCCAAATGGGCCCTCAGGCTGACACCACAGCTGTGTTTCTGGCCTCATCTGTCCCTGCTCTGCCCACTGCCCAGCCCAGATGCGGCCACTGACGCACTCCTCATCTTGTCTCTCTGGTCCCCCGGTCACCTGCCTGTCCACCCACCACTGCCCACCTGTCCATCCATCTACACATCCATCTGTCCACCCTCCTCTGTCCATCCAACCTTTTGCCCCTATGTCCATCTATCCATCCACCCACCTGTCCACCACCCATCTGTTCATCTATCCACATACCCTCCTCTCTCCACCCACCCTCTTCTGCCCCTCCCTGTCCATCTGCCCATCCTCTACCCCACCCTGGCCCCCTTCACCCACTCTGGTCCTGGTGCCCATGGCCTCGCACACCCCATACCTGTCCTGTGTCCTGTAGTCCCCCCAGGCAGAGGGCCCTCCACTGCATCCAGAGCAGTGTCCTCACTTCCTCAGTGTCCCAGAGCCCAGGGACTCTGTGGAGCCTCCTGTCCTGGGCCCTCAGGCTGCCCCGAGGGATGCTGCCTGAGAGCACAGCCCCCCAGTGCCCCGCCTGCCATCTCCTCACTGCAGGGTCAGGTGAGCGACTTCTGCGGGGGGTTGGGCAGCCTGGGCTGAGGTTCGGTGGTCACCCTGACCTACCCAGGCCTGCTTGCAGAGTGTGGCAGGGCACAGGCACGTGTTAGGAGTTGGCGCACAGTCTCGCTGGGCTGGGCGCCTGCCGTCAGGGTAAGCACGTTCCCCCACAAGGCCTCACCGCTGGGCTGGGCGCCCTTTCCCCTCCTCTCTTCAGGGCCAGTGCTCAGAGGAGGGTGCCCAGGAGCAGAGGGCGAGCCGGGGCTGGCCTGACCCGAGCCCTGGGCCGCTCCCACCTGCTCTGCTGGGTCCCAGCCGGCCCAGGCTCATTCCCCTGGGCTGCCTGCTGACTTGGCGTGGTGGTACTGGGTACCAGGTGGTGGAACTGGGTACCAGGTGGTATTCTCTGGGACCTCGGGCCAGACGCAGGTCCCCTGCTAGCACCTCCCAGCCCTGGGTCCACTTCCACTGCCCTGCATCCCAGGCTCCACCACCGGGGCTTGTCTGAAACAAGGGCTGGACGGTGGTCTGTTGTGCTGAGGGGGAAGGGAAGGTTGGGCCTGCGCTGGACACCCCACAGACAGGGCTTCGGCAGCTGCAGCAGTGCCGATGCTTCCAGAACGCTCCATCCCGCGGCCTTCCATCCAGCCGGCTCCGGCAGAGCCCCCAGACCTGGGTGAGGGAACCCACCATGGACCAAATGCAACCGCTCTCTAGCTGCCAAGAGGCAGGCACCACACCTGCCCCCCTCCGGCCCAGCCCAGCAGCCCCTCACCCCTGCACCAGGCACGGCCAGGGCGTGGCCACAGCTGCTGGGGCGCAGACTCGGGTGCTGCTGGGCGGGGAGTGTGGGTTTCCTCTAAAAGCCGCGCCCGCTCTGCGTCCTCGGTCCCTGGGTCCTGCTGCCTGCCCCAGCTCCCCCACCTGTCCTGGGTCTGTCTGGCGGCTATTCCTCTCCTGGGTCCCAGGTCACATGCCCACTCACCAGGCACAGAGTGGGGGCTATCTGTGCAGGCAGGGAAGGCGGCACCTTCACGAGGACAGAGGGTGGACGTCGGGGGACTGTGACACAGAGGAGGCTGGCGAGGTGCAGCAAGAGGGCACTGTGGGCAGCTCTGGAAGTCGGCGGGGAGCCTCGAGGTCCATACCTCAGGAAGGCCTAGACACTGCAGGCCCAGAGGTGACCTGAGGACTTTGAGGGCCCCACCCTGCCACCTGCCCACAGCCGACTGGGTGCCTGCTGGGCCTCCCCATTCCTTGCGTGGCCATGGTGGTGGGTGGGACAGGCTGGACCACACCTCACCTTCCTCCGGGAGGAAGACGGGCTTGCTGGTGAGGCATGGGTGTGAGACGGCCATCAGAGGAGGATGTGGCAGGACGGTCACCCATCTCGAGCCAGGGTGGGGCCACCTTGTGTCCTGACTTAGGCAAGAATCTGGCAGCAGGCTGTGGCACTCTGGTGGCCTAGAGAAAGGGTCAGTAGTTGACACTCAGCCGGGATTTGAACATGTGCATTCTGAGGGTATTGAAAGGCTGGCGTGGGCGAGCTGTCCCAGGCCGGGCAGCTGGTGGGAGCCCGCTGGGCTGGAGTGTCCACTCCTCAGGGTAGCATAGGGTTGACATTCTTCCCGCTGCAGACACTGAGCTCCGAGCAGAGTCTGACCAGGGCTGGGCCACACCCAGCCGTCTTGGTGTGGACACGGCCTGCAGTGTCCTGCCTTCTGCATGGAAGTGGACGGGCATCTAGGCCACACAACGGGGGAGGCGTGCAGCCTATGGTGGGGTGTCCTTGTCCAGCCCTTGGGTGGCCAGCCTATTCTCAGCATGGACATGGACACCGCTCCAAGGCACTCTGGCTTGCCAGGGGCTACCTGCAGTGAATAATTGACGCAGGACAGAGGGAGCAGCCTGGGCACAGGGTCCACTGGGTGGGGAGGAGCAGCTGGGGAAGCTTCCTGGAAGCAGTGACCAGGGCCCTGGGGTCCTGCCCACTAGTGTGTCTGGAGGTGAGAGCAGGAGGTGGTTCCTCAGATCTTCATTCTCCTGGGCCCGCGGCTTCCCAGAGAACCCTTCCCTTAGGGGCCTGGGACGGAGCTTTGGGTCAGCCTCTTTGGAGGTGAGAACAGGCCCGGGCCAGTGAGGGAGGGGCAGGCTGGGCTGACGGCTTCCCAGGCTGCATCCCCACCCCCTGCCCCCGTCCCCAGTGCAGCTCCACCCTCAGCCCTGACCTCTCCTCCCCAGACCCGAACGCCCTGGGAAGAGACCCCAGGGGCCAGCTTGGGGGGGGGTCCCAGAGAGGCAGGGCTGTGGGTCTGGGTTAGGTGGGCACCTCCGAGTGCCTGGGGCACAGCTCAGGAAGCAGCAGCCAGAGTCCCACCAGAATCTGGCCAGGGCGAGCTGTGGCCACAGCATGCCTCTAGAGCAGCCACTCTGGTGGACACAGGGACACACGCCTGCTGCTGCCCAGGGCTTTGTGAGGTGTGGGGGCAGCCGCTGGTGGAGGCCAGGACCACCCGGAGTGTACGAGCTAAAGGAGGGTAACTCCGTCCGCCCATATGGCCCAAGGGTCTACTCACTTCAAGGGGCTCCAGCCTAAATGTGGCCCGAAGTGGGGTGGGGGGGGCTCTGGAACCAGGGGGTAGGCAGTCTCCAGCAGAGGTCACTGCCTGTCCTCTGGGCCCGGGACCCCACCCTGGCTCAGCCCACCTCCAGGCCTTGCTCTGCTTGAACGGCCCTCAAGTCCCTCAAGCCACTGTCCCCAGAAGCTGCCCTTCCTGCAGTGTGTGCTGGTGACCTGCTCATGCCAGGGCCACCTCCGGCTGCTGCTGGAGGCACGCCTGTGAGGGTGGTGGGTGGCAGCTGCAGAAGCCCCCCAGGCCAGGCTGGGTGCAGATTGGGCTCAGGTGCTGCTCTCCAGCAGGCCCCGGGCGCTGCCAGGTGAGGAGGACGGTAGGCGGGCCTGTGCCCTGACCTCTCAGGCCGGAGGCGGCGCCCAGGGAGGCCTTCTTCAGCGGCAAGTGGGAGCAGCTGTCCTGGGGCAGGCTTAAAGCCAGGCCCGGGCAGGGGTGGGTGTGGCCGTGCGCAGCAGGAGTCCGGCCAGCCCTCCGACCTGCCCATGTGGCCCTTCCTGAGCCATGCTCTCTTCCCGCCGCCTACTGAGGCCTGGCTCCAGGCGGCCTCCTCGGACCCCGAGGCCCAGGGCTGGGGGGCCTGCAGCAGGCCTGAGAAGACCCCTCTGGAGTCAGGGGGTGGGGGTGGGCAGGGGGAGCGGCGGGGAGAGGCCGAGGAGGACGACAGAGACGCCAGCTTCTTGTTGTCCTTGCTGGAGCCGGGGAGCCGGGCCGAGAGCCCAGGGCCGGACCAGGTAGCACCCTGCGGGGTGGCCGAGGGCTGGGCCCACCCGCCTGGGCGAGGTGGCAGTGAGGCGAGCGCCTCCAGCTGGGGAGGCCTCGGGTGGAGTCCGTGGGCCCAGGAGCTTCCGTCCAGGAGGTTGTATCCTGTCCAGAGAAGGGTTTGCCCCGAAGGGGCTGTGACCCTCTGCCAGGGCTGGCCGGCCACAGCTGCCCTCCCTCTGGAAGGGCCCACAGGCTGTCCCCCTCCCAGGTTGACTGCGGGCAGGGGCTGCAGGAGCTGGAGGCCATCAAGCTGAAGCTATGGGCCCTGGAGCAGGTGAAGCAGCGGCCGGAGCCACCCAGCATCCAGGGCAGGACCAGGGCAGAGGACGGCACAGGGACTGGGCGGCTGCTAAGCAGCCCTGGGACCACAGGTAGGAGCCCCAAGACCCCCGCGGAGCATGGCGACCTTCCCTGAGGGGTGGGGAATGGACCCCCGATGGGAGGTGCCCACTGTGGGGGGCCTTCTGGTCCTGAGGCCTTGTCTCCACAGGCTGCCCCTTCCCTGGGACCCCCAAGGAGAAGGTGGAGGCTGACCACAGATCCATCTACGTGGGCAACGTGAGTGGGGGGAGGGCAGCAAGGGCTCATCCCTCCCGAAGGCGCAGACCCCAGGGTAGGCAGGTGGTCACACTAGTATCCTCTGTGGCTGGGACTCACCAGATGGAGGGATGGAGGGAGGGGGCATATCTGGCCTCCAGGAAGGATGGGGTGGGCCCGTCTGTCCCCTGGGGGCAACATGGGCCTGCTGTCCCACGTGACGACTCCCCAGTGCCACCGAGTGGGATCTTCGGGTGAGGTTTACCACCTTTAAGAAGCCTTGTGCCCCTGGCCTGAGCCAAGGCCCCAGGCCTGAGTGCACCGAGGCGGGCGGGGGGAACCCCTCTCAGCCTGTCCTCCGGAGACCAGGGCCTCGATGACCCCCGGCCAGGGGCCCAGTCTTGGGGGTCCTCCCAAGCCCTCAGCCAAGGAGACCCCCGAGGGGCGGGATCTGTGCAAGCCCAGCCCCACAGCGCTGCCCTGCCACAGCAGGTGGACTATGGGGGCACGGCCAGGGAGCTGGAGGCCCACTTCCACCACTGCGGCCAGGTCCACCGTGTCACCATCCTGTGCGACAAGTTCTCGGGACACCCCAAGGGGTCGGTGCAGGGCCTCGGGCAGGGCCGGGGGGGACAGCAAGGCTGGGTGGGCAGCAAGACTGGGTCCTCACTGTGCCCATGCTGCCCTCAGCTATGCCTACATAGAGTTCGCCACCAAGAGCTCAGCCCAGGCTGCCATGGAGCTGGACGAGAGCGTCTTCCGGGGCCGGGTCATCAAGGTACCTGTCTCTGGCGTCCTGCACAGCTCTAGGCCACCCAGTGCACTGCAGTGCCGAGCACTTCTTACCGTGAATCCTTGGAATGGAGCCAACGGGCACAGAGAGGCTGGCCACCTACCCAAGGACACACAGTTGTCCCAGCCAAGCCCTCTTTGTGTGCCTTGCGCAGGTTGGCAGGGCAAGGCCAGGCCAGGGCAGGGCATGGCAGGAGCCTCAGGCCCTCATTCCCAAAGCTGGACCTGTTCTGGGTGTGGCCTGAAGGAGACACTCTCCTCCCTCTGCAAGGGCGAGCACCAGGCACGTCACGTGACCATGGATGCAGCCAGGTGCAAGGGGAGCTGTAGGCCTACATGGGCATCCGGAGAAGCTCGGAGCCTCAAGCCCTGGGCCCAGCCTGAGGCTGCTGCCAGGCCACCCTGGCCTGGCCAGGAGGAGGCAGGGACAGGGCCGGAACTCATGTGGCCTCTGGTGCCAGGTGCTGCCCAAGAGGACCAACTTCCCAGGGATCAGCTCCACAGACCGTGGGGGCCTGCGGGGGCCCTCGGCCTCCAGGGCGGCCGCCTTCCTGTGCAGTGACCTCCAGTGCCGGTCCCGGTTCAGACCTCGTGGGCAGCACTGGTGAGTGGGCTGTGTGGGTGTTGGCCTGGAGATCGGGCGATGGGACTCGGCTGCCCAGGGTGCTGAGCCAGGGGCCTGCATAAGGGCCCGAGGGCCCTGCCGGACTGGAGAGCTGCCCCCTGGGTCCCACCAGGCTCAGCAGCACCCTGGTGTGAGGCCATGGTCCATGGCAGGGCTGCCCTGGCAGATGGGCATCTGGACACATGGCAGCCGCCAGATCAGGCTCCTCCTTCCCTGGGACCTTCTCAAGAGGCCCTCATCCCCCTGCCCGGTGTCCTCACCGTGGGCCTCCCTGTTCCCACAGGGCCCATGGAAGAGCCTCTCCGCGCTTCTCGCCGTACTGAAGGCACGGCGTTTTGAGAGGGGTGCAGTCAGGGAGATAGCCAAGTTTCCCTGGGGGATACCTGTTCCAGATGGCCAGGTCTGTGTGGCTGGACCGTCCACCAGGGTGGTCTGGACCCCACGGCCACTGCCACAAATTACACAGTCAGCCAGGGGGTGGCAGCCTGGAGCTCTGGAGATGTGGGTGGGGAGCAGGAGGAGGGGCAGGCATCCCTGGGGCTGGGATGGGATGACTTGGTTCTTCAACAGATAGTTTTAAAGAAAAAGAGAAACCTGTGTGTCTTAGAATAAAGCATAAATTATATTAAATCTGAGTATTTTAAAAGCACTGACGACCGGTCTCCTGCCTCCAAGTTCACTGGGCGTGCTCCTCCGGGCCGACTCCAGAGGGCGCCGTGGGACGTGGCTGAGGGCCAGGGCACACTGGCCCCCCCACCCCTGGAGGCACCTGGCCTAGGTCCCCCTGGTCAGGTCGGGAAGCAGAAGTGGAGACCCCCCGGGCACCGTGTCCTGAGAAAGCTGCCACTTGGGTCCTCTGTGCCCAGAGCCCACAGGGAGCAGGGCCAGGCTGTGGGTCTGCCTCCGTCCCCGGCGGAGCTTTCCATCCAGCAGGAGAGGCTCTCGCTGCCGGGGACCTGTGCCCATTGTCCCCTCGTAATCTTGGGTCAGCGCTGGCCTTTCCAGCAAGGGGAGTGGTGCCCCAAACAGGGCCACGTCCCAACCTCCAAAATCCGTCAGTGTGAACTCATTTGCAAAGTCCTTTCTCTTTTTTCGGTAGCTTTTAGTCGTTTATGGACACACTGCCTTCACTTTTGTTTTTATTTCATTTTCATGTGGTGCTGAGGATCGGACCCAGGGCCTCACACGTGCCGGGAAAGCGCTCTACCACTGAGCCCCAGCTCCATTCCAGCCCCTGGAAAGCCTCTCTTTTGAACAGGATTAAGCCTTGGGCACTTTACCACTGGTCAATCCCCAGTCCTGTTTATTTTTTGAGACAGAGTCCTAGCTGGGATCACAGGTGTGGCCGTCACACCTGAGTCATCCAGAAACCTTTCAACACACTTTCAGAGACTTTCTTTCTGTGAAGCATGACGTGCACACCTGTAACCCGCTATTTAAGAGGCTGAGGCAGGAGGATGGGGCATGTGAGACAGCCGGGGTAACTCAGATCACCTCTCAAAACAAAAATAAAGCTGGGATCACAGCGCAGGCCTGTGATCCAGGGTTCTAGAGGCCGAGGCAGAAGGATCAGAGTTCAAAGCCAGCCTCAGCAACTTAGTGAGGCTCTAAGCAACTTAGACCCTGTCTCTAAATAAAATATTTTAAAAAGCAGGGGGGCGGGTGGCTGGGGATGTGGCTAAGTGGGAAAGCGCCCTGGGTTCAATCCCTGGTACAGGGGAAAAAAGCCTCCAGCTGAGGTTCTCCTGGACTACCCGGGACCTTCGACCCTAGGTTCAGTGACACATGACACTGAACCCAGAAACACCAGACAGGACAGGCAGGGGGAGAGCAGGAGTGACGCGCCCAGTCAAGGGGCCAAGAATCGCCAGAGCAGGAGCCGCTTCAAGGCCACCTGGGGGACGAGTTAGCGCAGCTCTGACTCCTTAGGCCCCTGTGTCTGGTGAGTCAGATGTCCAGCTGGCCTGGGGATGGGCAGTGCAGTCTGCAAGTGGCCCGCCCTGGAGGGGAGGTGCATCTGGCTCCAGGGAGGACTCAGGGCTGCAGGCCCACCCAGGTGGGGCCCAAGAGGCTGAGGGTCAAGGTCCTGCCAAGAGAGGAGCCTGCTGGGCCACTGGGGGAGGGGCTGCAGCAGGCTCACTCCTGGGCTGAGGCTCACGAGGTGGTGGGGTGGGGCTCCTCCGGCCCGCCCATCCTCCCACCCTCCCTCCCCCCCCCAGGGCCCAGGGGCTGCCTTCCATCTGATGCCCAGCAGTCTTCTGGCCCGTGAGGCAGCACACTCCTCTGGGGACCAGGAAGCCCTCCTTTCCCAGGGGTCGGGGACCTGCGCAGGCTGGGGGGGCGGGGGCTGAGATGACGGCCCTCCTCAGCGTGGCCTCCAGCACTGCCGCTGTGTGGAGGTGCCATGGCTCTGGCCACACACGGTGGCCACTAACAGGGAGGCTGAGGGAGCAGCCCTGGAGAGCCACCTGGAGGGGAGCCGGGCGACAGGTTGCACTCGGGCAGAGGGAGTGGACCCTGCTGCAGCTCCCGTCCACACATGATTACTCCTGACTCTGGTCTTCCAGAGCTTAACATGGGGAGGCCACCTAACAACGCGTGGGAAAACCCCTGGCATGAAGCACACTCCGGAGTGGCCTGGCCACCCTGACAGAACACCCACACAGCAGCTTGAACAAGAGGAGTCTGTTTTCTTACATGAAAAAAGCTGAAGGTAAACAGTCCAGGGCCACATGCCAGCCAGGTCCAGGCTCAGTGAGCACTGATCCCCATCCTCAGAGCATGAATCTTGTCCTCATGCCCTTAGAAGGATTATCTGAGCTCCAGCCATCACACCAATGTTCCAGATAGGACATGGTGAAGGATACTCCATAGCCAGCTGAACCCCCTTATAAATGGTCTCTCCTGTCAGGTGTGGTGCCACACGCCTGGAATCCCAGCAGCTCAGGAGGCTGAGGCGGGGAGATTGTGAGTTCAAAGCCAGCCTCAGCCACGACGAGGCACCAAGCAACTCAGTGAGACCCTGTCTCTAAATAAAATACCGGATAGGGCTGGGGACGTGGCTCAGATTGAACCTGAGTTCAAGCAACCTGCAGTTGTCAGCTGTCAACCTGCGGTTCTCTTGCAATAGCATGCACTTGGAGGCCTGGACGACCTGTCCTGCTGTGCCAGAGTGGGGGACTGCTGTCTATCTGGCCAACAGTCTCCAGTAAAGCTGGGGTTCTGCTGGGAAGGAGAGGAGAATGGGCGTCGGGCACATGCACTTTGTTTTGTCCCGACCACAGCCAACACTGAAGGCCAACCAGGGTGCTACCATGGGCTGCCGTCCGTCCTGTCCTCCCTCTCCAAACACAAGCCTCTCGTTGAAGACCAAAGGCCCCGGGAGAGCCTGGGGCCAGGACATCAGAGTTAGCCATTGCTCACTGCACCTCCAGGCCTGCTCCAGGTCTTCCTGTTCCCCCAGGTGACCAGGGCCTAGGGCTTTCTTCCCGTGTATTTTTTTAAAAATCAGCACCATGCTTGCTGAAGGGGAGTCAGTAACAAAGACAAGGGGCCGTCAACACACCTCCTGGGCCCTGGGAGTCCTGACAAAATGCACAGGAGGGCAGGGCTCAGAGGGGCACCACGACTCAGGAAGCCACTGGCTTTAAAGGCATTTAAATCTCCAGTACCCCAAAATAAAAAGAAAGAACAGCCAGGGAAAAGGGCACACTAAGAACCCCAGCAACTCAGGAGGCTGAGGCAGCAGCACCCCAAGTTCAAAGCCAGTCTGGGCAACTGAGTGAGACCCTCAACAACTTAGTGAGACCTTGTCTCCAAATAAGAACTTTTTTAAAGGGCTGGGATGTGGCTCTACGGTAAAGTGCCCCTGGCTTCAACCCCCAGTACCAAAAAAAAAAAAAAAAACCTCACCTCTCAGACAAGCCACTGAATGACAAAAGGAAAGACAGCCCCCAGCCACCTGATGAGAAGGTGCTGCCACTCTCCTGGTCACAGCTAGGGTTGCTATGTGGCCTCTGGCTGCAGAGGTCTCAGGGAAGCCAGGGGCTGGAGCAGCAGCCTGGACGCCTCTGCTGACCACCTTGGCAGGAGCAGGAGGGAAGGCTCTGTGGTCGGGAAGCAGGGGCAAGTCGGGAATTGTGCCCACAGCAGAGTCCAGGTGGGTGTCCAGGAGGGGAGAGAAGTCCCACACCCAGAGCCCTGCCTGCTCCTGAAGGTGTGGGCAGTTACCCACGCCTCCACCCTTGAGGCTGGTTCTGGGCCGTCCAGCCTACAGGAGGCTCCAGCAAGAGGTGAGAGGCGGAGGCTGACATCCTGTCCCCTGCCCCTTCCCTGCACCTCCTGCTGTGGCCACAGCCTCCCTTGGTGCTACAGGGGGCCTCAGCAAGAGCCCTCTGCTGAGAGAGAAGAACCAAGCGCATCTCACCTCAAAAGGCCTTTAGTGGGGAGGCACCCGCACAAGCCCACCCAGCCCCCGGGCACGTCTCAACACTCAGGACAGAAATGACAGAAACGGAAGTCTCTAAACAGCTCCGCACAGGCGTCTCCTCAGGGCAGAGTCCTGCTCAGCACACTTGGATCATCATAGACGTCACCATGTTGTCGAAGGCCCTATGCAGGAAATGGGCCCATTCAGAGGCAGCCGGTCTCCAAGCCTCTGTCCCTCTGCTGGTCACCAGACTACCACCCCAACCCCAGATGCTCAGGGCTGCTCAGGGTCAGGCAAGTGAACTCAGTGAGGCCAGTCTCACTACACCAGGAATGAGACCACAGCTGCCCACAGCCCTCCCTGGCGGTCGGTCCTCACAGCATGGAGGTCCAAAGGTCGCAGACGGGTCAGGGAGGGAGCCAGGTGGGCAGGCAGCAGTGACGACAACAGTGCTGGCCCTGCCCTGTGGAGCCCAGGAACACTGCCTGCTCTCACCTGGGACCTAGGAGGACCTGACACACAGGGTCGAGGCTGAGAGAAGGGCCTCTTGGGAACTTTCTGGAACAAGGGATTCTGGGAAGCAGGTCTGGAGTGTGAGCTCACGAACCCTGCGCTCCTTGATGGAGTGCCTTCCTGAAGTTCATTCAAGCCTTGAGTATTTTCACTTGTTGCTCTACTTGTCTGTGGCACTGGGGGTTGAACCTGGGCCTCGTGCATGCCAGGAAGGTGCTCTACACCACTGCACCACCCTGCCCCAGGTCTGTCCATGTGAGAGCAACCCGCAAAACCCGTGATCCAGGTTCCTGACCATCCCAGGTCAACGTGAAAAGCAGTTCAGGTGAAGACACAGCAGATCTTCTCCCTGAACAGGTGTCTATAAGCTTGGGCCTTTGCTTAACTCCCCCGAGGGCCTCAGGTAATTGGGGGCTCACTTGGGAAACCAAATGGGCAAGTTCTGCCCCCTCCTTCCATCTGCTCTGTACCTGGAGATCTGTCAGAGCTGGTTCAGAGATCAGGGTTTTGCTGCTTTAAGTGGACCTCGGGGGCACAGGGCTCCTGACCTTCCAAGGCTGGCCTTTTCAGCAAGGCAGGCCTTGTACAGAGAGGAGACTGGAAAGCACGGCCCACCTGGACTGGATGCGGTCCCCAGGGTTGTAGAAGGGGTTGCACATCACATCTGTGTAGGAGTTATGCAGCTTCCGGAACATCTGAAACAAGACCCAACATACACATGGCACTGCCAGACCTGTGGCTTCCCAGGATTTCAACTCAGTGAGAAAGAGAATACAAGACGACCCCCCAGGCGTGGCCTCAGAGCCCTGCACCTACACTGCGGATTTCGTTGTCTCGAAGGGCTGTGTTGGAGGAATCCACCACCATGACAAACTTCACCTTGGAGTTGGTCACGTAGCCGTATCTGCACAGTGAGTCAGGGAACATGCTCTAACACGGGATGCATGACAGCAACTGGCCCAGCCCCACACCAAGAGCAGGCTGGAGCTACAGCTCAGTTGGTGGAGTGCTTGCCTCACATGCACAAGGCCCTGGGTTCGATCCCCAGCACCACAAAAATAAATAAATAAACACTTTTAAAAAGCGCCTATGAGCTAAGGGACCTCTGGGTATCCTTGCTTGGAGGAGCCAGACACCCTGAGTCACAGGAAGTGCCCAGGCCAGGATGGTCCTGCAGCACAGTGCAGGTGGGAAACTGCACACCTGGAATGCCAAGGTGACTGTTGGAGGCACGTAACCCCACCAATTCACAGACCCAAGTCCTTCTGGACACTGGGGATGCCTAACCCTCTTTATAAAGCAATACTGGGCCCAGGAAGCCAACTGCAAATAGATAAGGTGAATCCCCCACCTCTGCCCCAGAGGTCACATCATAGTGTAACACGCGGCTTCCAGGCCAATGCTGGTGTACACAAGCTGCATTACCGCCTGAGGGGCTCTCTCTGAACTCCGAGGTCTCAGCCTTATCCTAAGGTCAAGAGCATCCAGTGGTGCGTGAGGCAGGACCTAACAATGAAATCACTGTTGCTCTAAGGTGGCAGCCCCTGCAGAGCACAGAAGACACACCTGCTGGTACAGGGCAAGGAAACCCGCCCCCCAGTCTTCCCCGTCTTCCAGAAGTGCAAGTCCAGCATTTCCCAAATGCATCTTCAATTAAAAGGAGATTCAAAGGAAGACTTCGTTAGCTTCAGGCCCCTCAATCTCCTTGGATAACTGAAACTCTCACTTTTTTTTCTCAAGTGTTTCCCAAAGCACACCCTGAGATGACAGCATCCTAAAAGATACACCTTGTAGTCCTCCGTTGGGTACAGCAGGCCCAGGTAGAGCTCCCTCTGGTCCACCAGGGCCTTCCCCATGGTGGAGATCTTCTCATCTACCACATCCAGGGAGGTGTGCACCATGTAGTGGAACTTCAGTTCACTCTCCATGGGGGTGCTGCGGATGTACAGGGGGTAATTCTGCAAGAAACGACAGTGGCAACTGAAAGGGTAGGCACCCGCCCAGCCTGTGCCAGCTCTGACTAGTGCCAAAGAGCACCCTGAGAGTGGCCTTGTGGCCTGCCAACCCCCCTAGGAGATGTGCTCTCACTCTAAAATCCACAGCTTAATTCTCCACACTGTTGTGGGTATGTCTTCAGGGGCCTGACCTAATCCAAGCAGTTTATGCAGAGGGACAGCATAAGGGTGGGCAGAAAGGACCCATAAAAAGGGGCTTGAGTGCCCCCTGACAACTGGCCCTGTCACCTGGGTGGGTCACTCACCTGTGGTTCACTGTGCCCTGGCCACCTTCCACTCTGTGGAGCCTTCCCAGTATGGCACCATGAATGCCAGCTGTTTTTACCACACCATGCAAGGACAGGAGCCCTGTCACTAAGCCCTTGGAGACTTGGCTCAGCCTCCTCAGCTCGGCACTGCTGCCGGCCTGACCTCAGAGACAAGCACCTTTCCTGGGCTCCCACAGACCACAATTCACACTTGCCCAGCATAAGGTAATGTAGACATCTGGTGAACAATAAATATGCTCACACCGACTGATACCTGTCTGGTAACTGATCAATAGATCAGAAAATAGTCCCTGACACATAATGGCTCAACAAGAAACACTGGACTTCAGCATGAGTTTACAGAAAGATTATATGTACTTTGATGAATGATGTAAGGCCACCCTAAGTAGGAGCACCTATTAAGCACTGCTAAGCTGTGGCGTGTGCTCAGAGGGAAGCTGGCCAAGAGCCTGGAGAGGCCACGTCCCTGCCACCTCCGAAGCCAGTCTCAAGAAGAAGGGCCAGGAAGCAGGAGCACCTAAGTCGCCCTGAGCTCCTAAGCCTTCAGACAGAGCTTTCCGGAGGAAACGCGCGGCCAGCGGGCTGCAAGGGCCGCCGCCAAGGTGAGCGCGCAGGGCCTCGTCGGTCGGCGGACAGGCTCGGTGGAAGAGGAGGGGCGGGTGGCAAGGGAGGGGGACGCCACGCCACGCCGCGCCGCCGGGAGCCGGGGACAGCTTTTCGACACAGGCGCAACAGAACCCGCTTTGTCTCTAACAGACTGGGGAGCGGCGGCTGGATCGGAAAGCGGGAAGCGGGGAGAGGCTGCGGGAGGAGGACCGCACAACTCCGGGCGGCCCGGCCGCGGCTCGGCGGGCGCCGGGGGGACAAGTCAGGCCGGAGGGGGCGCGGGCCGGGGCGGGGGCCGCTCTCCGCCAACCGCGGCACGCACCTCCTTGGCGATCACCGCGATGCACACCGCCATCTTGGGAGGCCCTGCGCGGATCACGTGATCGCCGGCCAGGTCCCGCCCGTCCCTCGGCAGTTGACCGGGCGGGGTCCCGGCGGCTGCGGCCCCGCCCACCCCGCGCTCCGCCGAGTGGGCCCCGCGCCCTTCCGTCGCTCAGCTCCCGTCTGGGCGGGGTCCCGGCGGCTGTGGCCCCGCCCACCCCGCACGCCGCCGCGCGGGCCCCGCCCCTCGCCCCGTCACTCTCCCCGCCCCGCGGCTGGGCCGGAAGGGGCGCGGGCCTCTTCCAAGTTTCTCCCGGCAGGTTGGGCCCTGCGGCGCCCGGTTCGGTTGTCATGAGGGCGGTTGCCGCGGCGACGAAGGGGTGGCGGCTGCTGCTGGTGCTGAGCACCGCGGGGATCGCGGCCGCCGGCGCTCGGCAGCCCCCCAACATCCTGGTGCTGCTCATGGACGACGTGAGTGCGGGCGCGGGGCGGGCGCGGGGCGGACTCCGCCGGGAAGCCGCGGCGCTTGGCCCTGCGCAGCCGCCCGCCGCCCCATTTCACCGCGACCCGCGCCGCGGCTTCCAGCATCTGGCCAGAGGTCCGGCGCGGAGAGTAGGAGGGGGAGTATCCCCGAGGTCCCTCGCCTGGCCGCCCTGCCTAGGGCAGCTCGGTTCCCCGGGGCACTTATCCGAGGAACCCGGTGTCACTGAGTGACCCGGAGACACGGGTCACGTGGAAGCTTGGCTCCCACTCTCCTAGGCTTGGACTTCAGTCTGCTCTCCCGTCGGGTGGACCTGGCTGTCCTAGGAGCACCCAGTGGGCAAAGACCTCATCCAGTTCAGGACAGTTGAGGCCATCTGGGCACCTATCAGTTCCCACGGGCTGCAGGCCGGCAGAGAGCTCCAAGAGAGCTTTCCCACCTATCCTGTGCTGAGCAGCACAGTGATCCCCAGCCATACCAGGTGTCCGCCAGTTGTGGCTGGTGGGAACTGAGAAGTGGCATATGAGTGAGATACACTTGGATTTCAGAGACTTGGTATGAGAAAAACAATATAAATATCACATTTTATGACTATTAAAGTACTAGTTATCTATTACAAAAAGTCAATGGCCCTCATATATGCCTGAAAATATACCCATCCACAATCCTCCTCCAGAGGTCACCACAGTCAAGTCATGCTGGTTAAGGTCACTGACAGCTTTCCACAGCAGGCTTTACCTAGTCATGAGCGGCTCCACAGTCTGAGAAGCAGTTTCCGTTGCAGTGTTCAGTCTTTCCAAAGTTTGAGTCCCTCTCAAGGGTAGCTGTGTGGTCTCTTTTGGAGGAACTAACTCTAGGGGTGTAGGGGTAGGGCTTAGTCTTTCTGCTCTGTGTGTCTTTCCTTTCCAGGATGACAGGGTGTGGAAAAGTCGCGTGTCCTGCTCGGAGTTCAATACTAACTTTTCACATCAAAGATCTGTTGAAATGATGGCGTTTGGCGTTATGTAAAATATGGTGTTAATCTTCATTTCATCTATATGCTGTTCTGCTGTGGCTAGAGAGTGTAAAATCACACATGGGCTCACAGTGTGATTTCTACAGGGCTGTTTTGGAGCAGGCAAGTTTTGGGTGGTGGAGTGTGACCAGCATCTCAGGGAGTTTGAGCACCACCCCCACGCGCCTGTCTGGGTTCCCTAGGGCTGGGGCAGGATGGCCCCTGCTGTGCCCAGGGGCTCTTTCCTACAGGTTCTTCTTGTGGTTTGGGGGTTCTTTGGCAGCAGAAATCCAAAGAGCTCTGGAGGATTTCCATCCTTCTACCCTGGTTAGTGCAGACGCATCAGAAAGACTGACAGCTGGGGGGGGGGGGGTGCTGGGGTTGTGGCTCAGTGTTGGAGCGCTTGCCTGGCATGTGTGAAGCCCTGGGTTCGATCCCCAGCACCACATAAACAAATAAACAAAATAAAGGTATTACGTCCATCTACAACTAAAAAAAAATATTTTTAAAAAAAGACTGACAAAGAACTCAAGGACTTTTTTATGCCAAAATGACAGGAAACAAAGTGATCTAAGCAGAAAATGGCAACTCCCTGGCTCTCCTAACTAACCTGACCAACTCACCCTGGCTTCAGGCAGGTGGGATCCCGTCTCCACCCTCCCATCCTCTGCTGTCTCTGAGCTGGCCCCAGAGTGGCCCTGTGATGGCCCCATGATGGCCCAGGTCACACCAGGTTCCCCCGTCCCTCAGTCAGAGACCTGGTGACACAGTGGCTGTACCCAGTAGTCCCACCATCCTGACGTGGGTCACAGCCCGAGCCAAGCACACTGGGGAAGGGGCCTGTGCTGACCTGTCCAGCTGGAACCCAGAGCCCACTCCTAGAAAGGGAGGCTGGTCCACCAGACCAGACAACACTTCGAGGGAGAGGGGGTGCAGCCAGAAGGGGCAGGGTTCTGGCGAGTGAAACAGGAGGCCCGACACGGCAGCTGCTGAGGGGGTGCAGGCTCCGGCAGCACAGGGTGCTGCTCTGTCCCCTGAAGCCCCAGCCTCCCTTTCCGCCTTCTCCACACATCCTCCCCATCTGCACACCACTGCCTGTCAGGTTGGTGTTGAACCTGAAACTGGGCATCGAGACTCTGGCCTGCTGCAGGATGACCTGGCTGACCTCCCAGCCCCAGGCCTGGCACCATCGGAGAATGAGCTTGTATCTGGTCGAGAGTCCCGAGGGACCATCACCCACTGTGGACTGGCTGCCCGAGGCTCCATCTCCTGGTCAGTTATCTGTGCCACCCCTTCCATCTGAGCAGATGCTGTTCCAAGAAAGGGGGTATCCCACAGCTTGGTACTGCACCTGGCAAGGTCCACTCCCCTGCTGACCACGTGACCTGCCAAAGGACCACACCCTCCCTGCAGGGGTTGGGGCCAGAATGGGGTACAGCTTACAGCCCCTCACCCATCCAGAGGCGCCCAGCCCTGTCTCGTCAGGGATGGCATCTGTTTGGTCCCTCCTGGGTGCTCAGAGTCTAGGACATGTGGGCGGGCTGGATGGATGAATGCGGGAACTCGGAGGTCTGAAGCCTTAGGGCTGCCGTCGGCCCTGCAGAGTGCTCCCAGGAGTGAGGAAGCACCCTCCTGCCTCCCAGGTCTCCTCTGGGTTTGCAAGATAGGATTAAGAAAAAACCTGCGGTTCCGGAAGAAGCTGCAGTCAGAGGCCAGTGCCTTCGCCACCGAAGTCTCCTGGAACAGAGGTCCTGAGCGGAGCCTCCAGCCCCCATGCACGCTGAGGCCTTCCACGCACCTTCAGCTGGGGAGCACGTCCTCTGCCTTCGTCAGGGCCACGCAGCCAGGAAGACATGCAGCACACTTTCTAAAGCCTCGACGTTCCACGGGAAGGTGGGCCAGGGCAGCAGAGGCCACTGCCTGGTTGTGGTGGCTTCACTCCTCTGGAACACGGACAGTCTTCAGTCTTTTGCACCCTTGACAGGAGAGAGGGCGCTGCCTGCTGCAGCAGCACCCCTCATGACCCGGCAGCCCCAGTCCTGGTACACGTCAGGCCTGGAGACCTGCGACCACACACAGGCTGGGCACAAGTGTCCACACAGTGCATCCAAACAGCCAGAAGCAGGAACAACCATGTGTCCATCCATGACCAATGGACAAGCAGGGTTGACGACACTAGCTTAGCTTGTGGGGAAACTTTGCCCCTGGGTTTGAGATCTGAGTTGGTGTGGCGGCTCTGTGACGACAGTGGGCGTGTGCGAGTTTGGCAGCTCATGTGACGGAGGGCGTGGGCCTGTAGCTGCCAGTTTCCCAGGGGCATAGAGGTCCGCGTCAGTCCAGGGAAGCAGACATGTCTACACCTTCCCCAAGTGAGGGCCAGGCAGAAATGGAGCTGAAAGCCTGTGAAGCCCAGTTGACCCTGCAGCGGTGCCGCCTGTGCCCAGGCCGCTGGTGTTTGGCACGAGCTTTGCTAGGGGGAAGGAGGCCCAAGACACACACTCCCCCGGTGATGGAAGTGCCACCTGCAAAAGGTTCATTCCGCATCTCTGTTCTTCCACGCAGATGGGGTGGGGCGACCTGGGGGTGTACGGAGAACCTTCGAGAGAGACTCCAAATTTGGACCAGATGGCTGCAGAAGGGATGCTTTTCCCAAACTTCTACTCTGCCAACCCTCTGTGCTCGCCATGTAAGTCTGCAGGCTCCTGGCCCAGGGATGGGGCCACAGAGCCCAGCCCCTCCCCTCCTTCCAGCCCTGAGGCCCGGACTTCTGGGCAGTGCCTGCTCTTCCAAGGTGCTAGGAGCAGGGGGCACTGAGCCTCCAGAGGCTGTCTGTGGGCTTGGGGACTGTCCAGGGCCTTCAAAGTTGACGTCCAGCCCTGGCAGCTGTTGTCTCCCAGCGCCAAGGTGGCCTCATCCAGGGAAGGGCCATGAGAGCCCTCTGGGTGCCTCCCACTCACGGGTATGAGGCGCAGGTGGGAGGCAGTGCAGCTGTGCCTTCTCCCTGCAGAGACTCGCTCCTGCTGGGGAGGCAGATACAGAACTCTGACCTTGAAGGGCTATGGGGAGCAAGGGGTCAGCACCTGGTGACGGTCCCTGTGGGGAGGCAGCCTGGTGGCCGTCCTGGAGCTGGGAGAGCCAGGCAAGAGCCGTGGAGACAGAGCTGAGCTGCAGGCCCAAGGTTCCACCTCTGCCTGTCAGCAGGCCGTTATGCCCATACCCCAGGACACACAGAGGCTGGCAGGGTTGCTGGACAGTGTACCAGGTGTGCTAGTGGGAGCTGCTCAGCAGGACACACCGTAGAGCTGTTCTCACCACCTGTTTGTATCACCTCCGTGTAGCCAGGGCAGCCCTGCTCACAGGACGGCTGCCCATCCGCAACGGCTTCTATACCACCAATGCACACGCCCGGAATGGTATGGCTCCCGTGCCCCTCCAGGGTGCCCTACAGGGGAAGGAAGGCTGGTGTCCCGGGCCTTCAGGCATGGGAGGCTGAGGGCCAGAATCAGACACCGGGCAGGGGGGCATTGGTTGGCCCTTGGCACCTGTGGCCTTAGTTCTGCAGAGCAGCACAAACTGCCCAGGGCCAGACACCGTGCTTCTGCGCTAAAGTTGCTTTAAGACAGATTCTGGCCCTTCCACCAAAAGCCGTTGTTCGGCAAGGTGGCACCTGGTCCCCAACACAGAGCCTTGCACAGGCCCTGCCTAGCCAGGCCTGCTTCTTTGTACTGACCCCACCAGGACAGAGCTGAGGCTGGGGCACCCCACCCCTGCCCAGCACCCCTCCTTCCACCCCCTTATGCTCCCTGGGACACTGCATGGCTACAGAGGGGGCACGTCCCTCTGTCCAGGGTTCCTGCACCACTCTGGCAGGCAGCCCTGCACCCACAGAGACCTGCGGAGGCTGGGGACCCAGGTCACAGCAGGGAATGTTCTGGAAATTACCCAGAGCTTGGGTGGGTTCTCCAGGACACCTCAAAGACTAAACGGGATCTCAGTGGGCCCTGAAGAAGAAGGGAGTGTAGGAATGACACATGTGCGGCCTGCGGGCAGGGGGGTGTCCCAGCTGGGAGGGCAGAGGAGTGGGAGGCAGGCCTGGGGCAGTGGCCTCCGTCCCACCCAGGCCATGGCGCTGGGTGTGCCTCTGCCTGTCGGTCCTGACAGGCCACTGTGCAGGTCTGTTAGGGGTGGGTGAGACCCCTGGGACTCCCTGCCCACACACACCACTGCCCTCCAGCCTACACGCCCCAGGAGGTAGTGGGCGGCATCCCCGACTCTGAGCTCCTGCTGCCTGAGCTCCTGAAGGAAGCCGGCTACACCAGCAAGATCGTGGGCAAGTGGTGAGTCCCAGATACGCCCGGCGTCTGCCCTGCGCGGCCCTGCTCACGCTATCCCAAACAAGGGGCCTGGGAACCCTGACTCCTGGGGCCTCTTAGATTGCCCACAGGTGCTTTTAAAAGCTGGTGTGGTCCCCAGGGCTATTGCTCTGATGTGCTGGTAGCATCTCAGTTTAGGCCTGAGACTGGGACACCAGCCCTGCAGAGCCACCTCATGGTGTCAGACTCCGTGAGTGAGCGGGCACATGGCCCCACAACACGCCTCAGCCCCTGTCGCCTCCCACCATGCTCTGCCACCTCTGCTCCTGCGGGACCTCCTGCCAAAGCCTGGTCACTAAAGGAAGCCTCACAGTGGCACACACAGGCTTGTGGTGGGTGAGGCGGGGCCCGAGCCAGCAGGAGGGAACTTAGGACGTCATGGAAGCTCGTGTTGCTACAGCAGGTCCTGTTTCAAGCACAGGAAATGTTTACCTCCTTTGCTCCCTGGGGACATTCAGGTGTGAAAGAGTCCTGGGGGCCCTTCCCCACGTTGCAGCCCACAGACCCCCTTCCCTCGGGAGGCTGCTCCTCTGCTGCCTGGGGCCCTCTCATGAGCTCCCTTGGGGACTCTTCTCTGGGGATGGTCATGGTCATGGGGATGTGGAGTCTGCTGAGGCCAGAAAATGCGTCCCATCAGAGGCCACCGAAGAGCACCGTCTGGCAGCAGGGAAGCCAGCCTGTTGAGCTGGGCCACAGCCAGGACTGGCGGCTGAGCAGAGCTGGGTGGGTACACAAGGACCAGGTCCTCTCGGGGAGGACAGGGCCCCTTGTTGCCTGCAGTCCCTGAGCAGGTGCAGGGAGGGCCCAGGGAGCCAACGCAGAGGCCAGGCCTTGAGGGCTGCACCAACGAGAGGAAGAGCCAGCGGTGGCCTCAGAGTGACGAGCCCCTGCAGTGACCAGCACACTCCGTGCCTGGCCTGGCAGCTCTGCCCTGGTGCAAAGCCGTCCGTTCACCATCCCTGACCCAGGGCAGCAGGAGTGGAACAGGGAGAGCATCTCCATGGAGCTGGCCGGAGAGGTGGCCAGGCAGTGGAGGAGGCAACAGGCCCAGAGAAGTAGCTGTGCTCTGACTTGGGACATGGGCACAGTGGGCAACAGGCCAGTGGGGTGGGAGGCCGCACAAGGGTGGGCTGCAGGAGGCCTGGGGGCGATTGTGCAGAGATTTCTCAGTGAGGGGGTCCTGTCCCAGCAGGCCCCATTGCAGGGCTGAGGGGATATTGTGGGCTGTGGCCAGGACCAACCTGAAGTCCTTCATCTGGACCTCAGCACCAAGGATCTGGATATTGTCTGCCTGACCAAGTCCTTGGGGCTGACCAGGATCTGCAGCGTCCTTGGAACGCTGCAGAGGCTGCACACACAGGCTAGTGGGGCTGGGACACACACCCAGGCACCACAGCACCCTGTTCCGGCTCTCCTGTTGGTCCACACCTGACCATTGTCATTTGCATCTGCGTCCGAGCAGGTCTATAGCATGACCCTCAAAGCTGAGGCCTTTGTGCTGACAGATGTGGACATGGGCAGCCACCTGCCCAGCAGTGTTCAGAAAGGACAGGCTGTCACAGCAGGGGGCCCACAAGCACATGAGACACAGAGGACACGGCCCAGGCTACAGCTCAAGGTCCATGAAGTCACAGGTGGTACAGGTGTACCATGGAGGGGAGAAGGTGGGGCACACAAGGCCAGTGACCTGCTCCAGAGGGCGGCCGTGCCAGCCAGGCCACCGTCCTGGGAAAGCAGCCAGCCTGTGCCAGCCTGTCCTCCCTGGTCCTCCAGCCCAGCCTTCCCCACAGCCCCCATGACCCTGCCCACCGAATGACCAATGATAGTGGTCAGGAGCTGCCTCCACCAGGGACTGTCCCAGGTGCAGATTGGAGAAGGACTCTTCGGCCTGGGGTCTCAGAGCAGTAGCTGCAGAAGGCTTCCCTTGGTGCAGGGGCGGAAGGCAAGCCAATAGGCAGCCCCCACTGGACCTGTAGTGGTCGGGAGCCAGCACGGGAGCCACCTCTCCGACACCTGTTCTGAAGACCAGGCGGGAGCTGTTCTTTCCAGGGCTGATGGCCTTGCCCAGCACCTGTGAGGCCACTGGCCCACTGACCGTAGGAGCTGGAGACGGGGGAGTGAGATTAGGTGCCCCCAAAAGTGAAGAGGGTGTGAGGGCCTAGAGTGCCAGCCCTTCTCAGGGTACAGGAGCCTCAGTGGCTTTTGCACATCCTCCTGTGACCACTGTGGCAGGTTACATCCAGGGCCTGGGGACATGAGCAGTAGCACGCTTTCTGGCTCTGCCTTCCCTTAGCTGGAGAAGAGACACGCGGTGTTCAGAGATAGCGAGGCCCTGCTGGACTGCAGCCCTGAGGAGGGACACTGGCGCTCTGTGTGCAGCTCTGGGAACATTCCTGAGAGCTCAGGGCAGGAGAAGCCCAGGGAACCTGGAGACAGCGGAGATGGGTGCTCAGGTCTCGAGTCGGTTGGGACAGTTCTGCTTCAGAGCTCCCCACAGCACCCTGCGGTCACCCAGCCTCCACTGAGCCTCCGGTGGACACCCTTGGCTGTGCCCATGTGCTCTGTGGTGTGGCAGCACTCTGTTGGAAAGGGAGGGTGGTTTCCAGGGCTCCCTGGGTGCTGTCCTGGTCTGTCTGTCTTGGTATGCCCAGGGCTCAGCACACACTGGGTGTTGGGGTGGCTTATGGGCGAAGGTGAGGTAGGCTGCTGCCCAGAGGGTATCTGGCAGGGCCCTGAAGTGCTGGTTCCTGTTCCTAGGCATCTGGGTCATAGGCCCCAGTTCCACCCCCTGAAGCACGGATTTGATGAGTGGTTTGGATCCCCCAACTGTCACTTTGGACCTTATGACAACAGGGCCAGGCCCAACATCCCTGTGTATAGGGACTGGGAGATGGTCGGCAGGTAAAGCAGTCTCTCCTTTTCCCTCCCAGCCCTGCCCTGCTGACGGGGTGCCCAGCAGTCCTCCCTTGGCCTCTGTAGCTGCCCCCAGAGCAGGATGATGGTTCTTGAGCCACCCGCTGGCCCATGCTGCATCTGCGCAGCCAGAGTCTCCTGAGACTCACACCCGGGCCACTGTGAGTCCAATGCCCGTCCCACAGGGTGCTTGCAGGACCCAGCAGTCGGCTGTGGCGTCTAGACAGTGGGCACGCAGGGGAAAGGATGGGTCGACCCTTGTCTGTGAGCGCAGCAGAAGTGGGGGGATGGGAGTCCCCAGGGAGGAGCCCTCCGGAGCTCAGGCCCGGTGTAGGGCAGCTCCTCCCGGCAGCACCTGGTCAGGGGCCCTTGTCTTTCTTGTTAGTTTAACTTTTCTTACGGATCACGGACCAGAGCTGGAACACCCATTGGCTTTTTTAAAGTGCAGCTTTGCTGGTTCGTGACTCTCACCCCGTAATGTTCACCAGGCCTGCAGTGGGTGTGCAGGGGTGCCCAGAGCTGTGAGACCACCACAGTCGATGTCCCGCCATGTTCACCACCGTAAAGAAGCCCTGGCTGGCGCTTTCCCGCCCCGCGGCCTCTGCTCTGCCCTGCTCCATCCTGGGCAGGGTCAGTGGGGCCAGGAGAAGTGTCCAGGGCAGTGCAAGCCTCCAGCTGGATTTGTTGCACAATTGGGACATTTCCACCTTCTTCTGAACAAGGCCATGGCTATAGGTGGCCTCAGAGAGAAGGGGTCTGGGCTAAACCCTGACTTCTGTCTGGGGCCGTATTGTTTTCAGATTTTATGAAGAATTTCCAATCAACCTGAAGACTGGGGAGGCCAACCTCACCCAGATCTACTTAGAGGTGAGGAGCCGGGTTGGGCAGGACAGGCCGCGGGGCTGCGGGCAGAGGAGGACGAGCCGTCTCCCCACAGGAGGCCCTGGATTTCATCAGGAGGCAGCAGGCCAGGCAACGCCCGTTCTTCCTCTACTGGGCCATCGACGCCACCCACGCGCCTGTCTATGCCTCCAGATCTTTCTTGGGTACCAGCAGGCGAGGGCGGTGAGTCCCTCAGGGAACCCAGACCCCGGGGGGCTTCAGGGTGCTAGATTGCCTCGGGACCGGCGCTAAGAAAACCCAGAGCATCCCCGCTGCAGGGCACTGGCCAGCTCGGGGCTGGTGGGCGGAGGCTGGCTCCCCTGTGACAGGCCACCTGGCTTGAGCCTCCCCTTCCGCTCCGTGGGCACCTCCTCAGAGGTCCCCCTGCTCACGCCACACTGCGTCCTGCTGCCTGACAAGCTGCCTGCTCTCCACAGGTATGGGGACGCCGTTCGCGAGGTCGATGCCAGTGTTGGGAGGATCCTGAGGCTGCTGCGGGAGCTGCGCCTCGGGGAGAGCACCTTCGTCTTCTTCACCTCGGATAATGGCGCTGCCCTCGTTTCTGCTCCCGAGCAAGGCGAGTGCTGGTGCTTGTCCTCCCGGCCGCCCAAGGAACCGGCCCGTGCGGCTCACAGCGCACACGTCAGAGGCCACCAGCCGGCTCCCGGTGGAGCGTGAAGGGACTTCCCTGCGTTGTCGGGAGATTTCTGAGCAGGGTGGAGGTGGCCCTTCCCGCCCGGGGCCAGCCAAAGTGTTGATCAGTTTGGCCTTGCTGAGGAGAGGTGGCAGGAAGTGGTGGGGGAGGACCTGTTCTCAGGAGAGGTTGCATGCCTCCTAGAGAAGGCCCCGGGCAGCCCGGGCAGCGGCCGGCGTGCAGGCGAGCGTGGCGGAGGTCGCGGTGCGTGGCCTGGGCCAGTCACCCATGAGACAGCGAGGGGCTCCACCAGCGCCAGGGTCCTCAAGGACTGGCCTTTTGTGCTCGCCCTCCCCACTCACCTGTCCCCACTCGGCCCTGGACGTCTCCTCTGGGGTGCACACTGGAGGGTGGAGGGAAGACAGCGGGCTTTCTGGTTTCAAGTGGCAGGAACCAGCACAGCCCACAGCTGAGTGGGCTTGGCTCTCAGGCAGGCCCCTTCTGTGCAGGCGGCGTCCCAGAGAGAGGCGTGGGGCCCGGCTCCTCCCAGCAGAGTTCAGGGTCAGCAGCTGCACACTGCCCACAGGGAGGGCTGCGGTCCAGCTCCTGTTCGGGCACTCTGAGGGAGGGAAATGGGATGTTGGTCACTGGCCACTCTAGCAGGATATGCTCTGGTGGCAAGGACAGCGCTTGTCCCTGTGCCAGACCCCACACACCCCAAGGACCAGGGAGAGACTGCAGCAGCATCCCAAGAGCTACGATGCAGGACCACCTGCTGCCGCTCCCTCTGGCTGGTGGGAAATACCCCTGGCCCACCCTGCCCACTGTCAGGACCAGAGGGGCTCTGCCCAGACCACAGGGAGCCTGCAGACCCCAGCACCTAACGTAAGCAGAGGCCTCTGTGCCCAGCAACCTGCTCCATGGGCAGTGTTTTCCAGCTCTGCCTGAAGAGTCAGCCTTGATGACTGCTGGCCAGGCCAGCAGTAGCTCCTCGTCAGAGCAGGTCTCTGGACACCTGCAGCCGAAGCATCTTAGGCAGCTGCCCGATTGGAGCCGTTTGAGGCCTCCCAACCCTGTGCTTAGAGCTGAGCTCCTTGGCCTGGTTCTCTCTCCATGATGGGTCTCGGTGACTACACTGCAGAACAGGAGCCAGCACGGGCAGTGCTACCAAGAGTGCCATGCCCATGTCCCTGATGGTGGTGGCTTTCTCCCCAGGTGGCAGTAATGGCCCCTTTCTGTGTGGGAAGCAGACCACATTTGAAGGTGGGATGAGGGTGCCTGCGATCGCGTGGTGGCCCGGGCACATCCCTGCAGGCCAGGTAAGTCATTGTCACCCACAGGATCTTACGGGGTGTGGGTGCCAGTGGTGGGGAGGACACTTCTGGGCCTAGTCCTGTGGCAGTCCTGGGTGAACGGTGTTCTGCTGCGCTGGTGGCACTGCGAACTCTGGAGCGGACACGTGGGGCCTGGTCTGTGAAGCTCACTGGGCCACAGGATCCCCACGGCTGGTGTCCTATGGACACGCTCTCAGGGAGCAGCACCCTGCCAGGGCACCCCTGATGTCCGTCTGTGGGGTGCAGACAGGGGTGTGTCCTGCCGCATCCCCGTCCTGGCCTGCCTTCATGCCAGGCACAGCGTCCACCCACCCACTCTGGGGACAGTGGCCTGGAGGTGTGATGATCTCAAGCTGCAGAAGCTTCTAGGCACTTGGGCCTGGACAGCACCCTTAACCCCTTGGTTCAGGAGTTGGGATCCCACTGTGACTGAGCCAGTTTGTAGGGTCGGCTGCTCCGGGGGCCCCAGCTGCCCCAGCCCCTAGGGCCATGTGGGTTCCCATTCCTACCGTGGCTCTCTGTGGCCTCCCTGGGCCTGTGCAGATAACCAGGGCCATCTCTCCTATCCGGGTCAGCTGATGTGTGGACATGAGGCCACGTGCACAGGGGGCAGGGACTGGGACACGGCGTCCCTGGAGCTGTCCTCCTGCCCACCACACTGTGCCCTACCACACACATTAGGAGGCAAAGCTTCAAGAAAGCAAGTCACGTACCAGCCTCTCAGAGCTGGGAGCAGCCCGCAGGCATCCTGCCCACCATGCATGGGACAGTCCCCGTGGGTGGCACCTTCCCCATGTGCCTGGTCTCTAAACCCCGCTGGGCTCTGCCCCTCAGGACCCTCTGCCCAAGACCTCCAGGTCACTCCAAGTCATCAGGACCTCCAGGTTTACTGCAGGCAGCTGCAGGCTCCCTGTCAACTTACCAGCTCCCTTGAAGGGCAGAAGTGGCCGTGGCAGTGACCACATTGCTGGGTGGGATACGTGTGGCCAGCAGGTAACATCTATGCACACAGAGGGCCACGTCCATCATCCTACTTGCTGTGCAAGAGGCACTGGGCTGCAGCTGGACGGATTCTGCCCCAGGGTCATCACTTCTAGGCCTTGTGTGGCCGAGGGAGTGACGGGCAGCGTTCCTGCCTTCTGAGGGAGTGGGAGAGGCGCGAGGGCCAGGACAGGCTGCAGCAGCCCTGCTCGCTGGTGAGGAGCCGGGTCCCAGCACTGCTGCACACGTCCAGCCCAGTACTGCCCTGCTAAGACACATCTGGGAAGGCGAGATGGGCTGCCCTTGTGCCCAGATACCTGCCCATCTGTTCCCATCCAGTGGGCTCGGGCATTCCCTCCCACCGCCCTCCTACCCAGCTGGAAGCCCAGGTTTGGAATCGCCTTGGGCCCTGAAGGAGACCAGAACACCTTGCAGAGCTCGGTGTCCACCTCTTCTCTGCCATTTCCATGGGCACAAACTGAAATTGAGTTAGACGGGGACCCAGGCCTGTGTGCTGTGGTGACAGATTTTGACACCAGGTGTCCGTCCACCCAGCATCACCTGCGTGGCGCTCCACTGCTGCTGCCGCCGCCTTTGGTTCGGAGTGGAGGCTGGGGCTCTGGGAGCAGCCTCCAGGCCTCCTGCTGGGCCACAGCCTCCTCAGCCTTCCTTCAGCCTCCGTCCTCCACAGGGCTGCCCACGCTGGTGGAGGGCGCCAGACCCACTCCCGCCACCCCAGCCAGGAGCAGCCACCTCTGTTGTTTGGAGACGGTGAAGGTCTCTCTTTGTCTCTTGTCCCCCATTTTTTCCCCTGTCCTTGAAAAATATGAAAACCCAGAGAGTAGTAAGGGACCTGGAGGGGGCACCAGTCGGGAGGCTCCTGCTTCCCCTGCAGTGACCAGAAGGCCTCTGAATCACGTTCCTGCCTGTGCGGAGCGGGGCCCCGACAGCTGCCACGAGGCTCCTCCTGTGGAGGGTGTCCCTGCATTCAGAGGCTCCTTACCCAGCTAAGGCCACGACTCTGGCTCAGCTGAGTGGGGCCAGGTGAGGGCAGCACCACCAGGGCTGAGGCCCTGGCCATCAGTGGGCTGATGCCTGCTCAGCTGACCACAGTCGTGCAGTCCAGGGTGGTGCCCACCCCACTCTGCACCCCAGGTCGCAGAGGGCAGGACCAGAGAGGAGCCTGCCTCCCATCCCCAGCACAAGCGCAGCGTCGCTGTGGACTCGGCATCCGGTGAAGGACCCGAGCCGGCCTGATGAGGCAGAGTTGTGGTCACTGCTGGTCACTGATGGTCCTGCCCTTGGTGTTTCAGGGTCTGGCCAGGGACCAGTCACTCTGCTGCCCACAGAGTCCAGCTTATTTATCTACAGAGGTGCACCGGTGGGTTCTGGCCCTGAGTACTGCCCATGTGCCTTGCCCACGTCAGCCCTGGCTGCCCTCGCTGTCCTCTACAGTATTTCTGGGGCCTGTTCCCAACTGCAGCCCGCCTGGATTTGCAGAGTTCACTGTGGCTGCAGGTGTCCAGTGTGAAATGCCACCATGTGTCTCAGGACAGCTGGGCCTAAGTGGACCCCCTGTGTCCATTCCCAGCTCTGGCTGTTTTCCTGTCTCTGTCCAGCCCTGGCTCCAAGGTCAGACATATGATCTGGGTCCTGTCTGCTGCCCCCAGGCCCGCGACTGAGCTTGACCTGACCCTGTGTGCGGGGGTGGCCCATGAGCACTTGAGTACATCTCCAGATCCAGCCACCCTCTGGCCAGGGTAGAGGTGCCCACAAGTGACTGCTCTGTCCATTTCAGGTGAGCCACCAGCTGGGCAGCATCATGGACCTTTTCTCCACCAGCCTGTCCCTCGCAGGCCTGAAGCCGCCCCGTGACAGGGCTGTCGACGGCCTCGACCTCCTTCCTGCCATTCTGCAGGGCCAGCTGATGGACAGGTTGGTGATGGACAAACAGCCTTCCCCCTGCCGAGCCTCCTCATCCACAATGTCAGCCTCTGCTGTAGCTGAAGGCCAACGGGAGGCTGGGAGCTCCTGGCCAGAGGACCTGGGGCCTCCGGGTGGAGCAAGGCCCCTAGGGCTCAGGGCACAGGGAGGCCCAGGCTCTCAGAAGCTCCTCAAAGGCGAGATGGAGGTGCTTTGTGCCTGCCTTCAGCCCAGTCACTGTGACCACCACCACAGTCCCTTGTGTGGGAGGAGGGCACTCCAGCCTGTGTGCCCAGCTGCAGACAGCTGGCTCCCGGGGTGTGAGCCCGAGAAGCTGGCACCTCACAGGCCTGCAGCCTGCGCCGAGCTCGCTGTGGGGCCTCTGCTTTGGGGAGGCTTGGGAGGAGCTTGCTTTTTTTTTTCCCCAAATTCCTTATGTTCTTTTCCTTTAAAATTCCTTAATTCCTTTTGAAACCTGAACAAGTAGCTCGCTTACATCGAGGAGAGAGGGGCCGATGCCCCGGCTTCACACCTGCACTTCTCCTGGTCCTCTGCGCCAGGATGGGCCCTTTGCTGCCACCCTTACCTCCCATGCTGGCCTGCCTTTGCCCCACAAGGGCTGGAGGTCCCAGAACGGGAGGAGTGTGCCCAGGCTTCGTGCCTGTCTGTGTGCACTAAGCCTCTGTCACTGAGCACCTCAGCCTGCCCTTCCTCCGGTGCCCGGTCTGCTCTCAGTGTGGTCATCTCTAGATTGTCAGCTGGGCCTGGCTTGGAGGTGTGGCTAGCTCACTGCTCACCCTGCCAGGAGCCCGTGCTGGGACCCGGTGGTGATCCTTACCCTCCCACCCACAGGCCGATGTTCTATTACCGTGGCAATACACTGATGGCGGTCACTCTTGGCCTGTACAAGGCCCACTTCTGGACTTGGACCAACTCCTGGGAGGAGTTTAAACAGGTACAGGGCTCAGGGTGCAGGGCCCAGAAAGGGGGCAACACTTGAAAGACTTATACCCACTTCTGAGCCGCTGTTGAGGCTGGCGAGGTGGGAGGTGGCCCTGTGGCCCCTGACACGCTCAGGAGGACCTTGCGCAGACCTCTGTGGTTGCCGAGGACTAGGTACTGGGGATGCCTCTTTCTGCCATGCATGTTGGCAGGATGCCCAGAGGGTGCTCAGGGCTGCAGGTGTTCTGCAGAGACCCTCAGGCCTTGCCACATCCTTACAGGTGCCCTGCCCTTCACAGGAGGCCTTCAGAGCAGGCACAGCCCAGGCCCACATCAGATGGCCCCATGGGCCTCAACATCCTGCCGTGCACATGAGCTCCTTTTCACTCCCTCCCAGACAAGGTGACAGAGTGGCCTGGCCAGGCCCAGGGAATAGAGCTGTGGGTGTCTCACCAGGGTGCCAGCCCAGGGTCGGGGTGAAATGCCACACGTTCAGGCTCTGGGCTCCTACTGCCTCCTTTACCCACTGCAGCCACCCCAGGGCCTGCCCTCTGGCCACTGGCTGGTCCTGCCTCCTCCAGCCCCCAGCCCCCCAAGGTCATTAGATACTTGGAGACCTTGCTAATTTTCCTTAATTGGGAAGGCAGCCGAGTTAAGCCAGTGCACAGTCTGAGTGCTAGAACACTCGGAGCCAGCTGGGGTCCGCGTGGCCAGCTCCTGGCTCAGAAGTTGGGCTGGGCAGGAGGCCGGCAGGTAGGCGTGCAACATAGAAGGTGCACTTGGAGCTGCTGGTGGGACTGCTGTCCAACCCAGGACACAAGTGCCTCCTGTGGACACATGGGCGGCCCAGGACAGTGTCCCAGGCCCTTGCTGGTCTGCTGCCTTGCCCGCCTCCTGCATGGCCCTAGCCCCTGCTCTTCCTTCAGGTCAGGATTCACCAGTGCTCAGGGGTGTCCTAAGCACTGGCCTTGCCCCACCAGGCCCTAAGCAAAAACTGGTGCCCCAAAGGCACCTGCCCCATTTCCCTTGGGCCCCAGAGGCCACACCTGGCCAAGTGGCTAAGAAATGCTTAACAGTGCCCTTGAGGGAGGGAGCAGGACCCCCAGAGATGGGGGCTCCCTCTACCTTTCCCAGAGGACCCCTATGTCCCCCCTAGCTTTCTCCGGGGTCCCTGTCGTCAGCTCCTTGAGAGTCTGGGTGGTTCAGACGTAGGAGAAAGGCCCCTGCCCTACAGCCTGGGAACAGGGTGGCTGGTCTGTCCCCTGGCTTCCCTAGCACACGGTCCTAAGGCCCAGCTGGGCTTCTGCCAGGCTGATATTCAGAGGGGATGGGGCATCTAGGTGGTCCACACCTGTACACCTGTAATCTAAGCAACTGAGAGGCTGAGGCAAGAGGATCACAAGTTCAAGGACAGCCTCAGCCACTTAGTGAGACTGTCCAAAATATGAGTAAAAGGGCTGCAGGTGTGGCTGAAGGGTGTGGCTCCCCTGGGTTGGATCCCCAGTGCCAAAAAAAAAAAAAAAAACACCAGAATGGGGGTGGGGCTACCTCCAGAAAGGTGTGGAGCAACTTCCACGGACAGAGCCCATGCCATACCATCTGGTGGCCTGGAGCTGTCTGCATGGGGAGAAGCCCAGGCTGGGCTCCTGGCAGGGCTTCTGCTCAGCCCACAGCTGTCCACTCGGTGCCCCTTTCATTTCCTGGCACTCCTGCGGGCGCCGGGGTCAGTGGCGCTTTGCTTCCTCTGCTCAGAGCAGGAGCACACTGAGCCCATGGCTCCAGTAGGTGCCCAGTGTCAGGGGCCCTGCCTGGCAGTTCCCAGGGGCAGACAGGTGGGAGCTGGCTGTGCTGTGGTGTGCAGGCTGGAGGGGGACACCCAGGGCCCATGAGCCACACACCAGCAGGTCAGCCTGGCCAGAGAGCCTGTGCCTACCAGCTCCACCACTGACCTCCAGCCCCTGGAGAAGGCCAGAGTGTCTGAGAATACCCAGTGGGAGGCTGCCCAGGTCATCGACAGGATGTGGAGACAATCAAACCCAGGTTCACCTGGTGGCCTCCACGCCCCCAGTCCCTGGGCCCACCTGTGGTCATGGTTCTGATGTCCTTGCCCCTCCACTTCAGCATCTGCCCTGGGTCTGTGGTCTCTTGGCTCTGGGACATCTGGTGACCCTTCACCCTGACTTGGTCTCCCACCAGAGGCCACCTCTCCTCCCAGACGCACAGGGGTTTGCAAGGAGAACTTCTCCATAAAGCTGGCAGCAGCCAAGGTGTCAGGCTGGTCAGGTGCAGAGGCCCACGCCTGTGATCCCAGCAACCCAGGAGCTGAGGCAGGAGGTCAAGAATTGAAGGCCAGCCTCGGCAACTTAGCAAGAACCTGTCTCAAAATAAAATAAGGAAGAGGACTAGGGTTCAGCTCAGCGGTGGAGCGTCCTGGGCTCAATCCCCAGCACTTCAGAAAGGAATCAAAGCTGGGCACCGTGGCGCACACTGTAATTCCAGTGGCTCCGGAGGCTGAGGCAGGAGGATCATGAGTTCAAAGCCAGCCTCAGCAACTCAGTGAGACCCTGTCTCTAATGAGACACAGAATAGGGCTGGGGTGTGATTAGTGAAGTGCCCCTGGTTCAATCCTTGGTACCAAAAAAGGAAGAACGTTGAAGAGGTTGACTAACGCGTTTCAGACCTGTCCTCCACAGGGACGGGATCATGGAGGGAGGCACAGAGGCAGGCTGCCAGACAGCGTCTGCCCCAGGCTTCACAACCTTTGCCCCGCGTGACCGTGGACTGTGTTCTGGAGAGCCAGGAGCAGGGCAGTGCAGGCAGGGCTTCCTGGGGCACCCACACTCCCTCCGGCTCCCCACAGGGCATCAACTTCTGTCCTGGGCAGAACGTCTCAGGAGTCACAACCCACACCCAAGAAGAGCACACAAAGCTGCCCCTGATGTTCCACCTGGGACGAGACCCTGGGGAGAGGTACCCGCTCAGGTGAGTCAGGACCAGGGCACCGGCCGAGAAAATGCTTGCCAACCCAGCCCAAGGCCAGGCCACACCCAGGCGCCTGAGCGGGCTCCTCTGGAGCACCCCGGAGTGCGGCCCTCCCAGAGCACCCTTGATGCCTCCTGGGTGGGGCCACCTTCTCTCCCTGGCCTCTCCCCACCTCTGCCCTCGCAGGCTCTAGCCCACTACCCCAACTCCGGGCCCCATTTGTGAGTTGTATTGTGGATGTCCTGACACCAAGAGCTTCAGGTCCCCAGAGAGCCTCCCCCCAGGACTCAGGAGACTGGCACAGGCCACCTGTCCAGAGAGGCCAAGTCAGCAGTCCAGAGGCCATAGCCCACACTGACCACTGGCTGCTATCCTCAGCCTGCCCATCTCTGGTGACCAGCTCAGAATCTGAGGCGTCCCAGACCCAGCCCCTCCCGGCCCTCTCCCTCCTAGAACAGCTGTGGGCCTTCCTGAGCACCAGCCAGGAGCCCGGGAGCGGACCAGCCCCAGATGCTGCCAGTGAACCTCTCAGTGACCCTGGGCTTTCTCATCTCCAGCTTTGGCAGTGCTGAGTACCAGGATGCCCTTGGCAGAATCACCCCAGCTGTCCAGCAGCACCAGGAGGCCTTGGTCCCCGGACAGCCCCAGCTCAATGTGTGCAACCAGGCAGTCATGGTGAGTGGACTGTCCTTGCTGGACCCGTCACTGCACCGGGCTGCAGCTACCCGCCCTGAACCCAGGGCCAACCATGGCCTGCATCAGAGCATCAGCACCCTGGCACACAGCCATCTTGGGTTGTAGTGTGTTCTAGAGCCCAGTGCCTCACGGAAGGGCCACAGGTGCACCAGGTATCACCTGGACCATGGAGCAGAAACTGCCCTCCTGCTGCTTCCCACGAGCTCTGCAGGTGGAGGATGAGCTAGAACCCTCAGGGGACCCAAGGACACTGTCTCAGGGAGGCAGCAGGCCCCAGGGTCCACCATGCCTTTCTCCTGCTGAGCTGAGCATGGCAGGGCCAGGCAAGCCAGCTGTCCAACCCCTAGCCCTGTGCACACTGAAGCACAGGAGGGACCACGCACCATGGCCCATGATTCACATGGGGGGCTGTCCCCAGGCTGGAGGTCCCACAGGGATCCCCAGAGGGAGTAGACCTCCACTCAGGTCGTAAGGGGCGTTGTGACAGCTTCATGGTAATGGTTAAGGACAGTAGATGTGAGGCCCAGACTGATGTTACCAAGGGGAGCAAGAAGGAGGCCTAAGTACGGAGAAACAGCCCAGGGCTGTGCTCAGGGCCATGGGGGCAGGGTGTGCACAGCCCCGGGGGTGCCCTCCTCCCAGCATAGCAGAAGCAGGTACCAGCTAGGAGGGACCTTGACCCCATGGGGGACCCCTGCAGTCCCCTTCAGACTGGAGTTCCAGTGGCCACACCTTGTGTGACAAAAGCAGCAGAGCCACAGGGTCTCCTGGAAGCCCCAGAGCCAGCCCTCTGCTCACCTGGCCACACCCAGGCTCCCGTGCCCACTGGTCATGCCAGCTGAGCCCTGGGGCTGCTCCAGAGAAGACCAAGCTTGTCAGACCTCCTTCCTCCTGTGCAGGACAAAGGCCTGATTTAAGGCCCTTCCAGGTCAGACAGTGCAGCCTCTGAGCCCCAGGTGCGGGCTTGGCCTTTCAGGGGCACTTCCACTCCCCTGAAGTGTGCCTGGGGCTCAGCCTGACTAGATGGACTCAGCACCCAGAGAAATCATTCTGGGCAGCAGGGAGGCAGTGCAGAGGAGCACCCTCCTTGGTGAATGTCCTTGTCCAGGGCCAGGGGGCCAGCCACCCTGCTAAGGGCTTACTGGAGACTGGGATGGGCAGAGGTTCCTCGGTTAGTCAGGGCCAGTGGGTGGCCTCATCTGTGTCCATGGCTGAGTCTCTCATGGGACTTTTGGGCCCTTCCTTCAAAGGGACACCCGTGCTACTGGTGTTTGGGCCTCTGTCGGCTGTGGAGCTGGGAGGTCCCTGTTTCAGGCCCGCTGTTTTTGGCCCCAGGAGCCCAGTGCCCTCTGGTCGGGCATTGCTGCTTCTGTGACTGTTCTGCAGGATCAAGCTGTCTCCAGAGAGCAGCTACCTTCCAACTGTGCAGAGGCCATGGTGGGCTTCCTGACAGGCGAAGGGCCAGGGAAGTGGGCGGCACTTGGCCAGTGTGCTGCTGCCATCTCCTGGGCGCTGGGAGAACTGCTGCAGCTAGCTGCATCCAGGCTCTTCAGTGCAGGAGAAGGGGTGCTAGGGTCCAGGACACCCCCTAGGCGAGACTCAGGGAAGGCCCCGCTTCCATTTCCATGGTGAGTGCTACCACGGAGCTTCAGGGGTCGCTAGTGCCCTGCCTTCTCCAGGGCCTCCCACATAGCTCTGCTCCTCAAATCCCAGGCCACACTGTGTGCGGGGCTCAGTGGCACCTCCTCAGTCTCTAAGATCAGTCCCCATGCAGCTTCTCACAGCCCCTGAAGAGGGACCTGTCCCACTGCCCACAGGACACACAGCAGCAGCCTTGAGAAGCATAACCCCGACCCTGAGTCTAGACACTCACACACACCTGCCACTTCTGTCCTGCAAAGGTTGGGAACAGCCCCCCACTCCAACCATCCTGCTAAGGGCTCACTGAGTGCCTTATGCCATCGGGGAGAAACATCAAATGCTCTGATTCAGACCATAGCAAACCAGGCTGCCCTCAGTCTCCCCACAAGAAGCCTCCTCCTAGGGGAACCTTAGGGGCACTCCAGTCTGTACCCCAGCTCCCTCCCAGAGAGATGCTTTCCTTTCCCAACACCGAGCTGGGGTGGTCCTCCACTTCCTTCTTCCACCTGGAAGCACTGCCCAGGACATGGGCAGGTGTCTGGTTTCCCCTGCCCACAGCTGGCCTCGTGCTGGCCTCACCCTGGCCGCTGACACTTGCCTTGATGTTCACCAGCCCTGCCCCAGCCACTCCCCCTCAGAGCGAGGCTGCAGGTTCCCGTGATGCCCAGCAAGGCCGCATCTTGCCTGACCAGGTGGAGATGGAGATGGACTCCCCACTGCAGCCCAGCTGTGGGTGTGAGACTCAACCTGGGCAGGGGCAAGCGTCTCACTGCAGCCAAGACAAAAGTGCCTGGAATAACTCCATGTTTTCTTGAATTTTCATTTCATAGAACTGGGCACCCCCAGGCTGTGAAAAGTTAGGCAAGTGTCTGAGGCCTCCAGAGTCTGTCCCAGAGAAGTGCCATTGGCTCCATTAGCACCTGCTTGAACCCAGAATCTCCACAGACCCTGCAGGTGCCCAAGAGCAGGAAGTGTCTGGCCTCTGCCAACTGCCAAGCGCTCACTGCCAGACAGCATCTGCAGCCAGCAGCAGGGCCTGCCAGACACCTGCCAGAGACCTGGTTCTAGAGTCCACTCCTCATTGCGCCTCCTCACCCACCTGGCCCTGCAGCCCATCATCTCAGCTGGCTATGAAGGAGGCCACAGGCGTGATTGCTGCCTCCCATGCTCCTGCTCGGTGATGAAGGATTGATGGCAGTGGTGTGATTGGATTCTGAGCCCCTCAGTGCTATTAGGGTGCTCTCCACACCACCCCACAGGGCTGTGGACAAGGGGGGATAGGGAGGAGGCAGACACTCCACCCCACATTGGACGCCCATGCCACTTCTTCTGTGGAGGGTGTCGGTGTCCTTGGCTCTCTGCCCGGGCTCAGCACACTGATCCTGTCTGCTGTGAGCCCACCTGTCTCAAGGCAGGTGGGAGCCGCCTTCCATGAGTGGGTTCTCACATCTGTGCCGTTCTGCCAAAACAAATCGTAAAAGTTGGGAAATGTCGAAGAAATAGGCTCATAATAAAGAACAAAACCTGTTTTAACTTTGTCGACTTGGGGTGTAGAAGGACACTGCACCTGGGGGAGGCAGGCATCTGGCCTAGGAAGGTGCCGAGGCGCTGACCGGGCACCTCGGGCCCTGGCTAGGGCGATTCGATGGTCCCAGCACAGGGACAGAAGGGCCCGTGGGCCTAGAGACCGGCCAAGCGTCCCACCCCCTGCACTCCGTCTCCGCGACCTGCTGAGGTGGGCCCCGGCCTCCCGCAGCTTGGACGGAGGCCCCGGCTCGCCCTTCACGAAGGCCGAGGGGCCTGTGGGGACAAGAGCAGGGCCACCTTCTTCCCGCCCAACATGCTTGAGACGGGAAGCAACTGTGGTGCAAGAAATGAGGACATGTCATGAAACTCGTCACCAAGGATTCGAGAAAACGGTACTTCCTGCAGGAGCCCCGCCCCTCGGCCTGGCCCCGCCCGCCAGGCGCCGCCCCGCCCCTTGACGCACTCCTCCCCGCGCGCCCTCCGTCTCCGCGTCAGGCCCCGCCCCTCTCCCGCTCTGCCCTCGTTTCAGACTCCGCCCCCGGTGTCCCGCCCCGCCCCCTCTCCGCGCCAGGCCCCGCCCCGCCCCGCGTCCGGCCCCGCCCCGCGTCCGGCTCCGCGGGAGCAGCCTAGCCCTCGCCCCCGAGCCCGCACACGCGGCCATGGCGGAGCACGATCTGCAGCTGGTGGCGCGGCGCATCCGCAGCTTCCCCGACTTCCCCATCCCGGGCGTGCTGTTCAGGTGCGGCCGCGGCCCGGGCGTCGCGGCACAGCCCGAGCGTTGACGCCACGCTCGGCCCCCGGCGCGAGTGCGTGGGCTGCTCCGGGGTCCCGCAGGCTGCACGCCCCGCCAGCTCGAGTCACCACCCCGTCCTTGTGCGCAGGGACATCTCGCCGCTGCTGAAGGACCCTGACTCCTTCCGCGCCTGCATCCGCCTCCTGGCCAGCCACCTAAAGACCACGCATGGCGGCAAGATAGACTACATCGCAGGCGAGTGTCCCGGCACGGCCTCCTCTGCCCCGCCCGTCCCTGTCCAGTGCTCCTGCTCAGGTCCCCCTTCCAGGCTCGTCCTCCTGTTCCGCGCCCAAGTTCCCGTTCCCCGTCCTTCTGTCGCCTAGCCTCCTGTCTTTCATCGCCGTGACCCTGCCCTCCCGTTCCTACATGCCCTTGGGTCCTGCTCCCTATACCTCTACCCCGACCCTTCTGTCCCCCCTTTTTTCCTATTCTTCTACCCTTTCTGCCCCCTCTTTCCCCGCTTAATGGGAGAATGGGACAGGGTGGGGTGACTTCCCGTTCCTCCCACTGTGGCCTGCAGTGTCTGCACAGCCTTGCACCTTTGCCCCCTGACCCCACTGGCTCTGCCTGCTTAGGGTGGCCAGGCATGCTGGGGGCAGGGCTGTGTGGGGTCCACGCATGAGCTTAGGGGAGGGCTTTGGGGGTTTTTCAGAAGACCGCCAGGAGGAGGGACCCATCTTGGGATCACCATCAAGGGTTGTAAGCCCAGGCCTGCTCTGGGCCACCGGACGCCCTGCTTGGTAGCGCTGAGACAGGGCTGCCCACCCCTACAGCCTCAGCCCTCGGGTGGCTGCTCCTGGGCCTGGCGGCACCAACTGGAAGCCTCCCTCTGGTGGTGCCCACTCTGGGTTCCAGGCCGGGTACCTCCTCCCCTAGAAGCTTGCTATATGGGACAGCCATGGCGTCTCTAGGACCGTCTGACCTCCTCGACCCAGCCACCCTCCTTCTCTTCTTGTTGCCTCTGCAAAAGCTTTTGTGTTGAGTGCCTGCTGTGTTCCAGACCCAGGACCCAGCCTGGGGCTTGGGAGGTGGCCCTGGATAGCTCAGTGCCCACCAGGGGCTATCAGGAGAGGTCACCCGAGGGGTACACATCCCACCCTGCTCACTGCCCTGAGGGACATACCCCAGGGGAGGGGTGACCTCACTTCCTGCCCGTGTGGGAGGGTACACTGAGCATCCTCCTCAGCTCAGTCCGCCTCTTGAGGTGCCAGCCTGATCACTGCCTGCTCTTGTGGACAAAGAGCTACAGAGCAGGCACTGCCCCTGGGGAGTGATAGGCAGTCTGTGAGCTGAACAGAGGCCAGGTGACCTCTCCAGGCAACCGTTCTCGGCCTGTAGGATCAACTAGGCCCTGGGATGGCTGTCATCAACCTTCTAGGCAGAGCCAACAAGACCAGGTGTCCCTTGTCACTGGCTGCTTGTCCCCATGCTGCTGTGCTCCGGGCTACTGCCTGACACCCTTTTCCCCTGACAGGCCTAGACTCCAGAGGCTTCCTGTTTGGTCCTTCTCTGGCCCAGGAGCTCGGCCTGGGCTTTGTGCTCATCCGAAAGCGTGGGAAGCTGCCAGGTCCTACAGTGTCTGCCTCCTACGCGCTGGAATATGGGAAGGTGGGCAGGCTGGGGTGGCCAGGGGGGCAAGAGCAGGTCCCTGAGCTCCCCAGGCTCACACAGCCAGTCACTGCCCACTTCCTGTCCACAGGCTGAGCTGGAAATTCAAAAGGATGCCCTGGAGCCCGGGCAGAAGGTGGTTGTTGTGGACGATCTGCTGGCCACTGGCGGTGAGCTGACTGGGTGTGGGTGGGAGGGAATGCTACCCACTGAAGTGGCATGGAGCAGGTGGCATCTCAGCCTTTTCTGGCTTACTGGGGCCAGAGGGGGCTTTGGTGCTGTGGCAACCACCTCTTCCCTCCCTGTCCCCTGGGGCTGGCCCAGCTCAGAGCCCGGGGCCTCACCCTACACCCACACCATCCCTAGGAACCATGTGTGCAGCCTGTGAACTGCTGGGCCAGCTGCAGGCCGAGGTGCTGGAGTGTGTGTGCCTGGTGGAACTGACCTCGCTGAAGGGCAGGGAGAAGCTGGGGGCTGTGCCCTTCTTCTCCCTCCTGCAGTATGAATGACTGGGTGACCAGGATGGCTGCCCACCCCCCCTGCCTGGCATCTTCAGCTGGACAAGACTGTGATTCTACCCCGAGTGCCTTAAATGACGTCCACAGGCCACCGGTGGCTGCCCTTGGAAATGTTTTACCTGTCCTTGGTTGAGTGACCTTTGGTACCCACAGGTATCCACCTGGGGCCCTTCCTGCAGGTTCTGGAAGTGCCAAAACCAGGCCACCAAGCCCAGTTACAAATGCAGCAAGATCACTCCAATAAACAGCTTTGCTACACCACCGTCTCTTGTCCATCACTTGGGCTGGGGGGAAGCCTGGGGCAGTGCTCAGCACTCTAGGCCTCACTTCAGTGGGAGGGCTGTACATCACAAGTCACAGACCAAGAGGTGGCTGCCACCTGCCCTGGAGCCCAAAGTGCCACAGCCAGGTGTCTGGAGATCCTGCCAGCTTCCCCAGGATTTCCATGACCTTGCAGACATCTTCAAATCTGGTATTCTAGAACCCTGTGGTGATACTGGGCCACCTGACAGTCCAGGGCCACCAGTGTTTTCCAGTTCCCCAGATAATTTGTGGCTGTCTGGGACTGAGACTGTCCTGGGCCACCCTCAGGTGGGACCTTTGCTCCCTTGTTGGCACTGTCCTGAGGAACTGAGCCCAACTCAGGAAGGCAGCCCTCTCAGCAGCAAACTTTTATTCAAATCTTTATGACAAAAAGCGAACAAGACTGGAAACTCCAAAGCCTTGGGTATTTGGAAGTTGACCTCAAAGTAAGCAAAAAAGATCCTCCTGGCGAGATACTTTTAAAAAGCTTAATTTTACAAGGCATTTTAGCTCAAAATCTAGAAAATCAAAATTCTCTTCATTCTTCAAAGGGAAGTCTGATATCATGTTCTCAGAACCTCATCTTTGTACATTAGATTTCTTTTGTAAAGAGGCTCCTTCAAGCAAGGTAGGAAGTGCCCTGGGAGGACACAGCTCTCAGCTGGCCTATGGAACATGTGGACCTTGATCCCAGCTTTAAGCAGGACCTTGAGCACCCTTCAGCAGCTCATGGTGGGACACCCAGCAAGCCTGTGTGTCAGTGTCCCCTCTGCTGTATGAGATCACAGCTCAGCAGGCTAGGACATGGACATCTGGAGGGACACCGCCCTCCCAGCCACAGAGCCACACTCTGGGTGGCAGCAAAGGCCAGCTGCCCCAGCCCACTTCCCTGATACACCCACAGGGGCTGGAAGTGGCTTCCCCACCCCAGCAGCCAAGACAGAGCCCACTGAGAGATCCCTGGAGCAGACCCACTCTCCACATGGCCAGAGGCCACACAGCCTGCAACCCATGTGCAGTATATGATGGGCAGGGCAGGCGGCCAGGCACCCTGGGAGGAAGATCCAAAGTTCATCCAATTAGTGGAACGAAAGGCTTGATTGTCCTGCTTGTCCGTGGCTCACAGCCCCTCTGCACGAGCCTGATGGGCCAGCCGTGCTGCGATGCTGGTCAGGTCAGTAGCTTTGTCCAGCTTGATGTAGGTGTCCGTGCGGATGCGGTGCAGGCTGAGCCAGTCTGGCAGCAACTCAGCAAGGAGCAGCACATGCTGCTCCATCTCCCCTGCAGAGATGGGTGTGTGAGCCAACCCCTGACTTCCCCCCCCGCCGCCACCACCCCCACCCCCATGACTGTACGCAGATCTTTAGCAGGGAGCCAACAGCCCTTCTGTATATCTATGTGCACTGGTTCCAAGCAGAAGCCCAGACGTGGGGTCCCTGGGCTGTGCTCCAAGAAGTGGAGAAAACAGGCTGGGGTTGTGGCTCAGCGGTAGAGCGTTCACCTAACACGTGCGAGGCCCTGGGTTCAATCCTCAGGCGCCACATAAAAATGAGTAAGTAAAATAAAGGTGTTGTGTCCAACTACAAGTAAACGTTATTTAAAAAAAAAAAAAAAGTTGAGGAAACAACGGCTGGGGACCCTCCAGCTCAGGCCCCAGTGCTGGGGAATTTGCCCAACTGTGCAGGCCCTGAGGCAGGCAGTACCCACCTGCTTGAGGCCTGGGAGAGTGGATGCTCAAACAGGGCTTTGGGTAAGAAGTCGGGATTATTCTGAGGACTGCAGGTAACTGGGCAGGTTTGTGAAGGTGAGGCTGAGCAGAAGCCGCCTCCATGGCGATAGAACAGGGGTGGAGCACAGTGGGGAGCACCTACCCTGCGTGCCTGAAGCCCTGGGCTGTCCCCAGCACCCAAAAAGCAAAGGCTCTACAAGCCAGGCAGGCTCAGGGTTCCTGGAGGAGTGTAGTGCCCAGCACCCAGCAGGGCACACAACAGGCACCCAGTGCACATTGGGCCAGTGGAGCGAGTGCACCACAGACAGCAGCCCACACCCACCCTGGCCTGCACGTACCTGGGCTCAGGGCAGCTCGGCAGCTGCCAACCATCCTGGCGCAGGCCACATCCATGGTGAGTGCTGGCTTGCGCTCGGACACAAAAACACCACGCAATACCCGGGCCAGCTCAGGTAGCCGCTCCAGCCGCTGCAGGCGCAGTTCCTGCTCCGGGGACCGTGTCATCTGTGCCAACTGCTTCTGGGCCTCCTTGGCCCGGATCTTGTGGCCAGGGAGGGAAGCAGGTCAGTAAAGCAGGTCACCACACGCCCCCCACCCCCTGCCCATCTGTAAGAACTCACCCGTTCCAAGAGGGCCTGGGACACACCCTTCAGGGCACTTGGAGGGGTGGCTGGTGGGGTGGCCGGCAGTACAGGGCTGGGGGGCCCTGGGCTGCTGGGCTCAGCTGAGCGCAGGGCCATGCCACTCAAGGCCTTCTCCATCTGCGGGGTGGGTGGAGTCAGAGGAGAGGTCACAGGAAGCAAGGAAGCCCCAACTCAAGACCCCCGTGTTGCTCTAGGCCTAACTCCATGCCCACGCACAGCCCACCAGCAGCAGCCCCAGGGATGCAGGCATAGGCTGCAGCTGGTGAACAAGGGCACATCCTGCCATTTTCTGCCCCTCAGCAAGGATGAGCTCGGTGAAGCCTCAGGAACCAGACAGGCACCCAGCTAGGCCTCACTGCCTCCAGAGACAGGGGCCAGGTCAGAGGTCAGCAGCCTCACCCTGGGTGACATCAAGCTTCGGGCCCGGGCCAGCACCTCCTGGGCAGTGGTGAGTCTCTCTGTGTTGGGTGGCTGGGGCAGCTCGGCCGGCTCAATGTCAGGCACACCATCCACATTGAAGCGTGGGTGCCAGCGAGTCAGTTGGTCCTCAGGCACAGCCAGTGGGGGGCTCAAGGAGGCCAGGAAAGCCTGTGGGAGAAAGGCTGGGTGTTGGGCCGCCTGACTCCCAGCAGGGCAGCCTGGGGGATGTCACCTAACCTCTCTGTGCCCAGATAGTGTTGCTCTAGGCCTAACTCCACGCACACACACAGGCCACCAGGAGAGCTAGGCAAGAGAACACGTGCAGTCTTGCACAACAAGGACTCACTGACCCACTGAGAGCCTTCTGGGGCCTCTGGTCAGCCCTGAGCAGCTATGTCTGACTGTGTAACAGGACATCTTAGAGTGCAGGGCAGCCCTTCCCCACCTGGGATAGCCATGGCGAGGGTTAGAGGGAACTTCAGAACTCCACCCTCCTGTGAGGCGATCACAAAGCCCAAGAGAGGGCTGATGGCTCACAAGGAGGCCCCAAGTTGAGGGCCTTGCTGCTCACCCTGTGGTGCTCCTTGACTCGCTCCACCAGATTCCTGCTGAAGAGCTGTCGGCGCTGCAGAAGGCGCGAGGCTGTGAGCTGGGGGGCACTGCCAGCCTCTGCGGGGACAGTCCAGGCCTGAGCCCCCGGCCAGGCCAGGCCAGCCCAGCCCCACAGGGATGCCTCATGCCCTCCCTCAGAGCATGCAGAGCTGCAAGGGGGACCCAAAGCCAGGTGAGGAGATCCAGCCACTGGCACTCACCTGAGTCCAGCACGGGCTCGATGGTGAGCTGGTAATCAGATCTTTTCACGCCATCCTTGAAGGTGGGGATGTTGCGCTCCTGGCGAAAGCGGTAGGACTCAGGGTACACAGTTTTGATCTGGCCCACGTTGCGCTCCTCAAAGCGCCTACAGCAGAAGGGGCTGGGTCAGAAGGAACCAGGCTTCCGGCTTAGGGTGGGCCAGGCCTGACCCTCAGCCTGCTCACCTGCGCATCATGTCCTGGACAGCCTGCTTGACCTTGGCAAAAGTCACAGTCTCAGAGCGGTTGTGGAGCATGCCCACGACGGTGTCCATGCTGCGGAACATCTCGGCCAGCACCTGGTACTTGTAGGGCAGCACAAGGCCTGGGGGCCCAGGCTGGGCCAGGGCATGGAAGCGCTGGTAGGCAGGTGCCTTCTCGCCACTGTCAAGTCAAGGAGAGCCAGGGTCAGAGGCAGGCCCAGATCACATCCCTTCAGTGCCCAGCCACAGGCCCCATGGCATGTACCCTTCAGAGAGCCCTTGCCAGCCTGCTGCCTGCCTAAGGAGCAGCCTCAGGGAGGCACACTTCAAAGCCTGCTCCACAACCAGCTCTACCACCCTCCCTCGGGCCCCAGCCCAGCTTCCTCAGCTCCAAAAGACATAGGGCTTGGGGAAGACAGTGACACTGGGATGTCACTGTGGGTGAACTGTCAGTGTTGAGCCCAGCGAGGCAGGAATGACCAGCACCCAGGGCTGCAGCATGCAGCTGGTGAGCAGCATGGTCTGTGCTGTCTGCTCCATGCCCTCTCCACATAACTAACGCCCTAGGAGAGGCAGCCCTGGCCCTCCACCTGCTCGGGCCCCTGCTGTGCCTGCTGGTCCCTGTCTTCTCCAGGGTGCCTGAGCACACTCACCATGGCTGCTCTGCAGATCCCTCAGCCTCCGATGTGCTAGTTTCCTTAGTGTCCTTCTGAGCACTGGCCCTCAGTGCCTGGGCCTGAGCCCCCAGCACCCGTGCCCGCTGCAGACATGACTGGAGCTCTGAGATGGTGTCCTTGGAGAGGGCCTGTGGACACAGGGTGGGTGAGCCATCCAGTCACCCCAGCCCCTCACACACTGCCTGGTCCAGCCTCACAGCCTCCTCACCTTGTCCTTGGGGGCCGCCAGGCAGGGCCGCTGACCTTCGGAGGGAGCAGTTCTCTTAACCTTCTTGCCCGGGGAGATAGGGGCAGGTGGGGAAGTGGGACAGCAGTCCTGCTGGGAAGGAAGCCACAGGTGAGCACATGACAGGCCTTGGGGAACCCCAAGAGAACCGACTGCCAACTAAATGGACCCTGCCAGGACCGAGCAGAGGTCCTGGGCATCCCTG